AGTCATCTAAGTCATGTGTGTGACTTAGTGCACTGGGAAAAGGCTGCCCTGAACAGGGTGGTACCACATGTAGGTGGGGCTGGGAGGGCAAGGGAGAGGCGTGTGCTTAGGTGCCCACCAACTCCATGCTTCTTCAGCAGGTAGCTCTTTCCTGGCACTGCTGTCTAAGGACATCAGACTCCAGGCTCTTCAGCCTTTGAACAGAGATTTGTAACAGCAACTGCACAAGAAGCTCCCAGACCCTCAGCTCCAGTCGGGGACTACAGCATCAGAACCCTCTGATTCTAGAGCAGGTGGCCCAGCCCATGACCCAAGGGCAAGGAGTGGTTCAGGAAAGCTGCGGATGCCTCAAGAATCACAATCCCGCTTGGAACATGAACAGTTTTCCTTGGAACTTTCCTTTTTGTGACTTGATTGCAAGGTCCTATAGTGTACACTTTTAAATGAACAGTGTCAAACCACAGTATCATTCAAAACACACACATACACATGCTCCAAATACCTGTATGCATGTTCTTGCTACCTGTGCACACACACAGACTCTATGTCATGGTGGCTGCAGCTTCCAGGGTGTTGTGTCCTGGGCGTTGACGGTGGTCTCAGCACCATCGGAGGTCACAGTGCTCATGGTAACTTAGGAGTAAAGCACAACCATTATCAATAACACTTTATCACTGTAAATGACAGGTGTGTACAGTTACTCAGAAGTCAGGTTTTTATTACATGTCTTACTTACGTATTCACTTATTTAGAGGTGGGTCACAGGCCATGGCACACATGTGGAAGTTAGATGGCAACTTGCAAGGGTCAGTGATGGATCCTGGGAATCCAACTCAGGCTTGGCAACAAGTGTCTTAACTCACTGAGCCCTTAGACAGTGAAGTATTCCTACTTGATTATTAAGGATACCGGCACATTTTAGTTCCACTCATGAACTGCATCCAGAGGTGAGGGGCGGAAAAGCCAAACCTCAATATATTCCTGCCAATTCATTTCCATAATAAAGTAAATACAGTCCCTTCTCTATTATTTTAGATCCTGGAATGGCTTCTTAAAGCATCCCAAAAGAAAATAGGCTCGAACTGTCTGTAACTCCAGTTCCAGACGGTCAGATGCCTCTGTCCAGTCTCCTCGAGGACCCTCGTACACAGTGCTGGCTAAACACCCGTATATATTGTTTTTAATTTAATAGAAGTAGTTTGGTAGGAAGAGCTGTCATTTTCTACCCTACATCTCATAGATGGATAATCACATCACAGAACTGATGGACCAACATGGCTCAGCATGCTGTTTTTATTAGGAGTGCTCGTGACAAATATGTCACCAAAGAACAGCTTTAGTACCGTTAAAAGATACAGCTAAATCAAGAGATTGACACAAAGCAGTGAAAGATACGTTAAAGGCTTTGTCCATCGTCAACATTCCTGGAACAATTACTGGTGATACCCCTTCAAAACTAGAAGGCAATTCAGTGACCAAGCGAAACTCAGGCTTAGCCTCATCATGACATGAAACTTAAAGACTTGATGCCTGAGAAAGCCTTAAATATGGACAGCATTGTGTGACTCCAGACTGCCTCGAGAGCCGGGGGATTAAATCATCTCCAATTCCAAGAATTCCTTAAAAGTGTTGATGCTGACTATGGTGACATCATTTGTCTTTCTGAGAAAAAATTGCTGTCTGGACCAAATGTAGAAAAGATTTTATTATTTGTGGTGTGTTGACGAGCTATTTATGGTTGGCACCAAAAACAAAATCTGTGCCAGAACTTGATGAAAACTGGCTTACAGATTTTTCATTTTCAATGGATTCTACCACTCATTTCAGTGAGTTGAAAATCTATCGTTAAGGTGAAAAAGAATTTATCGGTGCCACCTCTCAAATCACGCTAATGTTCCAACTGAAACTAAAATTATGGCAAACTTGAACTAATGAAACCTTAGGCGATCCAACATATGGGCTAAACACACTGCTGTGGACAGCAAAATCTATATAGTCTTGTTTTCTATTTGATAAAGGAATTTGAAAACAGATTTCAGGATTTCCAGGAATATGACATTTTGGTATATTTGGGGCTCCATTTTCAGTTGACATAAACAAGTCAGCCTGTTTTCAAACGGAGTAGAGCGCCTGCCATCTGGCATTCAGTTAAATATTTGATGGTGTCCCTTCCTAGGCTTTCACAGGTCCAGCTTTCAGAGACAAACACCCCTACTCATGTCGTCACTTCTAGAAGTACCTGTGTTTTCTGTTGTTTTTTGTTTGATTGATTATTCATAGTAGTAATGCCCTACTTATGAAGCAGGGCATTACTTATGCCAGCAGCATGCCACATTGCACTCGGTACCTCTAAGCATCCCCGTATTTCCAGTTCTGTTGCATATTCACCGGTAGAGTAAATCGCCTACATTCTGGGTAGCTCAGCTCCTCTCAGACTTTGGCACCTTCTGGCCCAGGTAAGATCTCATTCACATCAGTGGCTCAGACACAGGCTTACGAGTCCTCCTGTACCCTGGCCGTGGACAGGGTTGCCTTTCCCTCAAAAGGCCTTTCTCAGGTGTTTCTGAGCAAGTGTGCTCCCAGGGAGTGCTCTCATTCCTCTGCTCAGCACAGCAGGGCCTGAGAGGCCTGGCCCCACTCAACTGCTTGCTACCCTGCAGACACACAGGGAGCTACCCTGCAGGCACGTGGAGCTGCCTCTGGTGGTGCTGCTGTAGGTCAGAAAGTAAATGCTTCCCAGAAGCCTGTGTGTTACAATCTTGGTCTCTATCCTGATGCTATTTGAGAAGGGGTGGGAAACTTCAAAGGAGCCTAGTAGGAGCTCTCCAGGTCATTGGGATGTGCCCTTGAAAGGGCTATAGACTCCCATCTTTTCCTTTTCTGGTCTCTTTCGATTTCTGGCTATGAGGGGAGTGACTTTGCTCTCACCACCACCACCATCTTGTCACATACCCCAAACCCACAAAGATCAATCAACCATCAACAGAAGGCTTTGGAAGCATGAGACAAGATAAACCTTCTCTTTTTTTATTATTTCAGGTATTTATCACAATAACACAAAACAAATGAATGTCCCTACTTTCAGTAGGTAGTAAACTATCAGACTATAGTGTCAGACAGCCCAGAGTGCGCAGGTGACCAGCCAGGTGTCAATCCATGGTTGGGAGCACAACCACCTTGCTATAGCATGGAATAGTGAGTGATCCCAAGTTTACAGCGCTCCTTGGGGGACACCTGAGCTTGCACCCGTGATGTAGCTAGAATAATGCCTGACACACAAAAACCCAACTAACGGTCAACAGTGCTGTCTGGTGGTGCTAGGTCAAGATGACAACACAGGGGACAGATAATGGGAAAATAATCTAGAGAATAATTCGTGGTCTGGATCATCTAAGGGTTTGTTTTTTCCAGAAAATCAAAGTAAAAGGAAGATGGGCCTGTTAACTGTTTAATTTTCCAAATGTCACCCTGGCAGCAAAATGAAAGAACATGGGTGAGCATGCAACACCACACTCATACACATACACACACATACACACACGCACGCACACACACACGCACACATGCACACTTGTGCATACATGCACACGCAAACACACACATACACCTAGTCACCTACAAACTAGGAAGAGGGAGCTTCCTCACTGGACACCAAGCCTGCCAATACCTTGACCTTTGACCTCCCTCTTCTATAACTTTGTTACTGGAGGCTTCTCTCCCGCCCGCCAGTGCCTGAATGACCACTCTGAGGCTTAATATTAATTACAAACTGCTTGGCCGATCAGCTCAGGGTTATTGTTAACTAGTTCTTACAGTTTGACTCATTTCTATTATTCTATATTTTACAAGGCTCATGGCTTGTTACCTCACATCTCGCGTCTCTGGAGACTGCTGGCATCTCCCTGACTCTGCCTTCTTTTTCCCTGTATCTTTGCTTGGAATTCCCACCTGGCTCTATCCTGCCTGGTTATTGACCAAATCAGCTTCTTTATTAACCAGTGGTGACAAGACATATCCGCAGCATGCAGAATGGCATCCCACATCACAAATTCAAAAGTCTGTTGTTGAAGGCACCCAGGGTGTGGCCTCTTGTTATGGCAGCAGGGTCAAGACACGCCATATCCTGAGATGGAGACCACACGGGAGCTGATCTACAGTTACGCATGCCAGTCCCCGCCCATGCCCTAGAGAGCACAGGCCACCTTTATCATCCAGCAACCCCTCCCATCCATGGCTGTAAAGCAAAGACTCCATGACTCCAGACTTGGCTAATGTAATCAACCTCTCATAGGAGAAGCAGAAACTTCCATTGCAACGGTCCGAATGCTCGTGAGCAGCTGTGTTTCCATCTGGTCTGCCCGCTGCCCCAGTTTTTATTTCTACAGTTGCTACATCTTATTTGTGTGGTCCCTAGTGACCCAAGTTTGATCCACAGAAATGGTGTGAAGCGTGTACACGCATGAAGTTATTGAAAAGATCTCTGCCCAAATGTGAGTAAATTCTTGTATTTTCTGAAGTTTCTAAAGCATGATCTTTTCCTAATTAGGAAAAGTCATGTATCTGAAATGCTGTCAAATGGCTGCTATAGGTGTCAAAGAAGGTAATTTGGAAATTATGAAGAATCTGTGCAGAGACACTTGATCCTAGTTCCCAGTTCAAGCAGACTTCTTGAAAGACAAGATGGAAATTTGTATTATTGCTCTCTTTTACTAAACAAAGTGAAGCGGTAGATCTAAACATCAATGTATGTGTACACCATAGACATGTATTCTCTCTCCCTCCCTGCCGTCCTCATCTGCCTGCTTCTCAGGAACCTGCTCTTCTGCCCTGTCCTGGGCAAGAGACAGGGAACCCTGGGACCTAGAGATAAGGATGGGAAAAATGGAGCCCAATTCCCTGATTCCTATGACCAAGCAGCACGTAGGCAAAAAAGCGGTGACAGATGAGGAATGTCACAGCCCGTTTCCCGCACGCACCCGGACAGAAAAACCACAGCACAATGACAACCGTGAGAGACTTTATGCATTTATCTTTGTCATCAGTACAGCTCTTCAGAACGAGATGAGAGAAAAAGAGAACATTGTTCCTAACAGTTACAGCCATAGGTAGACATTACAAACTAGGTGTAGGTCTAGAGGTTTTTAGAGAGGACTGAGGTGCAGGGTTGACTCCCCAAAAAGTGCTGAGAGGGTACAGGCAGGCGTGGAAATAAACTCCTGCGGTTAAGTTCTTCTGGTGTTTGCAAAGTGCCCAGTACACGGGGAAGACGGTGAGTCCATACAGGCCTTTGCACATGCTGTGTGGGGGAGGCTGTGGCAGAGTTCTTGTCCTAAGAGGCAAGGCTCAGAGGTCGACCGGTTCACGTTATGATTACTTGGTATTATGCATGCACGGTATTGGTACAGAGAGCTTTAACAGGGATCTGTGGGGTTTTCTAAATTGACATGGTCATTTTAACCGAAAAAAAAAATTTCCCTCTCAACTATCCCTTCAACCGACACTCAGCCCATGCCCTGTGCCGGTCCCTTTCTCAAGACATAGGCGAGAGGAGAATACTGACAGATCTCTCAGTAGGGCAGCCCCACCTACTACTCACCTCCCCCCAACACCCAGACTCATGGGGAGCCAGGGCCTGGCAGAGAGGGGACAATTTTCTACTTAAGTCAAACAGACTGGCTGGGGGAGCTTAATTGGGGTGATCGGGACAAAAAACGCTAGTGAGGCTAAAAGTTGTTATCTGAAGTTTAGCAGGTACCAGAAATCCTTCTTTCTGCTTGGCTTTAGAAAACAGTGGATCCCATCACCTGGGAGTGGTGTGCAAAGTAAGCCCCCCACCCACCACAGCCTTCCCCAGGCCTAGGAAGAACATGGCTGTCTGCTGAGAAGCTGCCTGCTAACTTCAGATAAAACTCCAGGCCCAAAGTATAACAATTTATTAGCCACGCATTCGATCTTCAGGTCCTTTGGGGCAAAAATACTGCACGGGGCATGACATGTGTCATTCCTGTGGAGGCTTTTCATTCAAAAGAGCCCACACAATTCCACTGATTTATTTTAAAAAAAACAACTGAGTACCTCTCATTGTAAAAGCTCCCTCTGAAACCAGCTCTGGCTTCAGAATTAGTGAGTCAACTTGCTCAAATGAACACTGACGACTTCAACAGTATTCCTGAAAAAACTGCCAAAGCCTTCCAGAGATGAAGGTCATGGTGTCTCTCTATTCTGCTAATGACGAGAGATGAAGGTCAGTGTCTCTCTATTCTGCTAATGACGAGAGATGAAGGTCACGGTGTCTCTCTATTCTGCTAATGATGGCGGCTACAAAGTGGGAAACCCTTCATTCAGCCCAGGGAGAGGTGCATGAAGCATTTGGAGAAAGAGCTAAATTTTCATGAGGAGGAGGTTTCGCAGCTTGCTCTGTAAACACCATTCCGGGCCTCTGTGCCTTGGAGAGAGCTCCTTAGAGTCAGGAGGCTGTGCAGTGAATGGCTTCCTAGTCTTGGCTCGGATCAGCTCTGGCACCAATGCACGTGTGCAAAGAGCAGCAAGCCAGCTTATCGTACGAGAAGAAACATAGTGAGGTCCTACGAAACACTGGATTATTTACCTGGAGTAACTGAAGCGCCACTTCATGTGTGTGGCACAGAGTTCCCAACTGCATAGTGGAGACAAGAGGCGCTGCCTCTGACCTGCGGGGACCAGGGTAGGAGGGAATGAGAGAGAGGAACATGAGGGAACGAGCTGGGGCCTGCTCCAGAGAAAGGCAGTGTTCAAGTAACAAAGGAGTCCAACCCAAAAGCACGAAATTCAAGTAACAGAGTCACGGGTGCTGTGTTCTGGTTGTGGGCAAGGCATTGCACATCTGCCGTGGAGAGAGGGCTGGGAGGTAAAGGAACCGCGTTCAGAGGGTGCACGCGTTCCACATAGAGCTCGCCGAGTCCTCGCGAGAAGAAAAGGGGCCTCAGGAAATGTCGGAATCCGCAAGCGGTTCGGAGCAGTTGCTTAATGCATAGCCAGTGAGTGTCTCTGCGTATGCTCTTCAGTTTGGTGGTTAACGTCAGTGCCAACTGATGTGAAGGTTTTCTTTTCACGGGTAGAAATAGAAAGTTAAAGAAAGACTATCTTGATTTTTTTTTTCTGCTTTAGCGGAAGAATAAAAAACAATTTGAAGACAGGTATTAAAGTGCACACACACATGCACGCACACACACTCATCCTACACACACAAATTCCCTCCCCTCTCCAACAGAGCAAACAGAGAAACATCAGGACAGGGTTTTCTGCAACTAAGAAACTTCTTTGCACAGTTTCTGTTCTACCAAGCTGGTGTGTTCGTTCATGCCGGAGGACTAGTGACGCCCAGAGGGCAGGAAGGCCAGGGGAACGTGTTATTGTTTCAGGGATCCCAAAAAAGGCCCTGAGAAGGCCAGAAGAGGGCTTAACAGTCTACATATTCTTTTCTAAAGAGGTCACAAGGAAAATCGGGGAAACTCCACGCTGGAGAAGCACACACGATTTATTCAGTCACAAGAATCCACTTTACCAGCTACCTAGTGGGTAGGAAAGGTCCCTACCCTGGTTCCCACCACGACACTTCCAGCTCCCACTTTGATGGGCCTCCTAGTCTCCAGGCTCCTAGCCTCCCGATTCATTCTCACTGGACAAACAGAACAGGACGGGTACGGCCGGCATGTTAATGTCGCCATGCCACGCGAGTCCAGACGCTGAGCCACTGGGAGGCGTCATCGCTTCTTGGTGCTGCTGCTGCTCCCGGTGGCCGATTTGTTGAAGCTCCTGCTGATCTGAGGGAAGTGCATGGTTGGGGTTCTTTCTGTAGGGCCGTACAACCCCAAATTCCTGGCCGTGGCTGACTTTCGAAGCGGCTTGACGCTAGGAAAAGGGCTGAAGATAGGGGCTTTGGAGTTGCTGACAGGGAGAGGTTTGCTGGGAGCCTGGTTTTCCCCAGGGCCATCCATGGACTCCGGGGCACGCTGCTGGCAGGGGAGGAGCGCCTTGGGCTCAGTCTCTGCAGGGGCATCCCTTTGGTTCAGTTCCAAGGCTTCCAATTTCACCTGCACTGCAGACACATCGACAACATCAGCATCCCCAAATACCGGCTCCGGCGACTGCCCTTCGATTGTCCTCAGGGTGCCCGCGGCACAGCTGCTGCCCTCACCAGGAGCTGCTGCTGCACGGCTGGAGGGAAGCTCCTCAGCTGCCCCCAGGCTGCTGGCCCTGCAGCCTTCATTCTGCTCCTCTATCAGCCCTACGGTGTCCCCACAGCCCAGGTGACTCTTGGTCCGTGGCATGTTCTTTTTGTGAACTCTGATGTGAGTCCGCCATGGAGAGTTGAGCTTGGTCTCGAGGTCTTCGTAGGGGACAGGAGACATTTTACCTCCTGCGTGGCCGGGGATGTGGATGACTGCATTCTTGCTTGCTCTGTTTGTAATTTTCATCTTTTTCCCTAGAAGAAGGTGATTTATCACTGGAGAATTGTTTACCTGAGATGGGAGGATGCTGGTGACTGGTCCTTTGTCTGAAAGAAAGGTTGAAAGGGTGTAAAACATACAACACAGAAACACGTCTGTCCGAACAGCAATCTCACGGAGCTCACCCCGGAATCTTTTCCCCATTAATTTTCCAGGTGCCAGCAGAGCCATGTGACTGGAGACACAGAAACTGAATCACACCCTAGCACCTGTGATGCCCAGTTCCACCTCTTCCGGGAAGGGAGCATTGGAGGCTGCGGACATGCTATGGTTTGGATGGGTGTGTTCTCCAAGGGCTCCTTAAGAAAGGCTTGGTCTCAGCCGGCAGAGCCCATCGCTGACTGCATCATCATGACCTTGACCTAACTGATGGTTCACTGTCCCTGCATCAATACGTGTACGTGGTTGAAACTGTAGAAGTGGGTCAAAGGGGCATGCCTTGATGTCACCAGTCTTTCCTCCTGGTCCCTCTGTCAGTCTGTCCAGTGATCTACGCAAATCTTTATTACTGTCCCTAAGCTCCTCCTGATTCTCAACACCTCCAGCATACTCTCCACAAACAACATTTCTCCTCATTTTCCCAAGAAAACAGGAGCTCTCAACTTCCTATCCTCCTTACCCCGGGAATCTGGTACCTCAGGCCCTCCCTACCCTGGGAATCTGGTACCTCAGGCCCTCCCTAACCTGGGAATCTGGTACCTCAGGCCCTTTCTAACCTGGGAATCTGATACTCCAGGACCTCTCTAACCTGGGAATCTAGTACCCCAGGACCTCTCTAGCCTGGGAATCTGGTACCCCAGGCCCTCTCTAAACTGGGAATCTGGTACCCCAGGCCCTTTCTAACCTAGGAATCTGGTAGCTCAGGCCCTCTTTAACCTGGGAATCTGATACCCCAGCCCTCCCTAACCTGGGAATCTGGTACCTCAGGCCCTCTCTAACCTGGGAATCTGGTACCCCAGGCCCTTTCTAACCTGGGAATCTGGTACCTCAGGCCCTCTCTAACCTGGGAATCTGATACTCCAGGCCCTCTCTAACCTGGGAATCTGGTACCTCAGGCCCTTTCTAACCTGGGAATCTGGTACCTTAGGCCCTCTCTAACCTGGGAATCTGGTGCCCCAGGCCCTCCCTAACCTGGGAATCTGGTACCTCAGGCCCTCCCTACCCCGGGAATCTGGTGCCTCAGGCCCTCCCTACCCCGGGAATCTGGTGCCTCAGGCCCTCCCTACCCCAGGAATCTGGTACCCCAGGCCCTCCCTACCCCAGGAATCTGGTGCCCCAGGCCCTCCCTACCCCAGGAATCTGGTGCCCCAGGCCCTCCCTACCCCGGGAATCTGGTGCCCCAGGCCCTCCCTACCCCGGGAATCTGGTACTTCAAGTCCTATCCATATAGTGGTGCAATCGGTCTATGTTTGGCACAGTCAGAGCCCCACGAGAAGACTTTGAGAGCACACCGCATAAAGTTGTGAAGATGAAGCCTGGGCTGCATTTTGACACAAGATGCTGCGAAACCTCAGCTGTGAAACCTCCGCCGTAGAGAGCTGTGCGTAGGCAGGAGAGTAACGGAAGGCAGATAGGTATGAGACGCTGCAGGGGAAACGGGCCGTCTAGGCCCCGTCAGAGATAGAGCGGCAGGGTCTGGTGCTGCCTCTGCTGGGTTTAGTTTTGCTCTGGCCCCATCTTTTCCCACTATGTCCCCCGTCCTCTCCTTTAGAATGGTAATATATATTCATGATTGCTTTCTTAATGGTTCCATGTGGAGTCAGATCCTTTAAGATTCCCCTATTTCTCCCAATGGTGAATTCAGTTTTTGTCCTAGACCAGTCACATGCTCAGAAGCCGCAGGCCAAATTTCTATCTTTGTGAACTCAGGATAGACAACAGCCTCATTGGGGACAGGAGACCTACTCCCAAGTCAGCACGTATTAAACAGCAAGGCCGATTGGTCACTGTGATTTGGGGGATTATAAAGAGAAAAAAAGAGCTCGACAATCCTTGGAAAAGAACCTTTCAACCAAATGGCTTGAGGCTGTTCTCCGACACTCCTGACACGCTGGGAGCGGCTTATCAGTGAGGCCCAGTTTCTCCCATCTTCCTTATCAGAATCTCTGTGAAGTACACAAATGACTAGATTCCATTATCAGATGCTTCAGCTTATTGCTTATTTGTTTCCATGTGTGCATTCAGATGGGTGTGGACCACAGCGCACACAGGGAGGCCAGAGGACGGCTTGTGGAGTCATTTCTCTGTAGTGTCCAGGAACTGACTCAGGCTGCCAGCTCTGTGCACTTCTACCATCTGGGGCATGGCACTGGCCCACAAATTTGAATTTCTAAAATTTCTCAAGTCCAAGGATTGCATAGCTCAGCAACACTTTAATCATTTGTAAATCCCTCCGGACAAGCACACTTATACAGTCAATGGGATATACTACCATCCACGGCCTGTTCCTTGGGGCCTAAAAAGAACCCAAGGTCCTTTTCTTCTTTACTCCCTGATAAAATAAAGTTGAAAGTGAGATTCTAAATATGCTGCTTTCTGGGACCTGCTGGCTGATAGGTAAAGGCGTGATGGCTAATCTTCATTCTCAACTAGACTTGGAGCCACCTGGGAGCCACCTGGGAGGCACATCGGTGAAGGTGTCCAGAGAGGTTCCCAGGGAAGACCCACCCTGAAGGCAAGCAGCACCAACCCTTGGGCTGAGGTATTGGACTGAATAGGAGGGCGAAAGAGGAAAGGAAACTAAGTATCCTCACACGCGTCTCTCTGCTCTCTGCCTCTGGGCACAATGTGCGGGCTCTGCCTCACATCCCTGCACACCCACCCCCTATCATAGCCGCTCTCACCTCCTCGCTTTCCCCTCCATGATGGCTGTGAGCCCTCGTACGGGACAAAGTAACCCCCTACTGTGCTCTCATCAGGTCTTTGCCACGACAGCGAGAAGTCTGAGGTCATCCTCAGGTCACGCTGCCCGCACTGGGGTCACATTCGAACCTATGGAAGAATCTCCGTACCTGCCCTTATGTACACGTGGTGGAGCTGCTGCTGCTGCTTCTTCTTGATGCGCGAGTACTGCCGCTTCAGAGCGTTGATGTCTGTGGTCATTCGCTCCATCATCATACTGTTGAAGGCCGCGTGGTACTCACTGCGGCAGGAATTGATGGCTCCCGGGCTCAGCTCCGCGATGTTGTTGGACCTCGGGCTCTGTTCCTCGCTCGCTTCTGCCCTCCGGGAAGGAACGCAAGGTCAGCGGAGGGGAACCCAGCAAAGGGGAACGGTTTCCCTACCTCCGATGTAGTTCCTTAACCATCAAGAAATTCTAAGCCAGGAAACCACCCCTAGCTTTATCTAGTTTTTGCTTTGGTTTGCTCCTGCAGTCCCTAACGAGCCTGAGGTTCATTGATTTTGTGGCCACTTTCTTCATGATGTAGACATAAGATCAACTATCTCCAGGTAAAAATCAATACCACTTTGTAAAAATCCCTCAGAAAAATAAAGTACAGCAAGTGTTCTATGATAATAACTGTGACATCCTCACATCTCCATAAGAACCTATAGGGCTGACCACCTGCAGACGTACAAGCACATTCTAAAGACAGCACCTTTCATCAGTGTATAAGACTTTGGAGGATTGTGTCACCAGAAGCAAGTCCTTTAACATGTACTTCTGATTGTCTATCATGGATGTTATGTTTGATATAGTTTCTGACCCTGGGACATCCATCTACAGCTAGCAGAACTTCCCCTTAGGTAAAATCAAGATTGTACCCTCAAAAGAGAAACCATTGCTCTGGTACATTGTATGTACACCCACAGTCTGCCTGGATTGTGGGAGAGAAAATCTCTAAAACAATGTATACAAGTGAGTCTGGGAACTAATAGAAGAAAGACAGAAATTTTCGCTGTGCTAATATCTGCTGAGAACATCTCCAGGGGAGAATTGGGCATCTTATAAATTTACTTCATTTGTTACTGAAATTGCTTCTCTAAGAAAAAGAAAATTTAAAAAAATGGGTAAGCTGAACAAAATCACTAGGAAGCATATTTATGCGAAAGTGATAGCCACCCTGGTCTAAATTGCACAGAAGAAAACTGACCGTAGGCTATGACCAAAACCTTTAGCAATGGGGCTGGAGGGGGACGGCTCAATGGTTAGGAGCACTTGCTGCAGAATTATAAGACCAGAGTTCAGATCTCAGAAAACATGTATGTAGCTCAGAGACACACAAACATCTGTAACTCCAGCTCCAAGAGATCTGACAACCCTCTTCTGGCTATTGCATGTACAAAGGCATCCACACAGATATGCATCCAGGCACTCAAACACATATATGCACACAGGCATTCACACATACATGTACACAGGCACTCAAGCAGACACGTTCATACACATGAATAAAATAAATCTTTAAAAATAAAAAGGGTCAATAAAAAGTTATATATCAAAGTAATGATATAATTTTAAAAACTTTAACATTAATAATTGAGTACATGTCTAAAAATAAAAAAAAATTCAGAGAAGAAAGAGTGCAAACGGTATTACAGAAATCAAGAGGAATCTTGTTGGGCTCAGATTCCCAATGGTTGTTTTAAAGACGGGAGGAGAGTACACATCATGGACATAACACACAAAACAGTGTGAACCCAGTCTTCTTCCCCCAGCCAAACTGTTTCTAAGTTTATAAACTTTATTATAAAAAACCCTTGCAAATAAATAAAAACATCACACACCAAAATAGACCCGAAGTCTGTACAACTCAATGAATTTCTGTACATGAACCCAGTCTTCAAGCAGGCTGAAACTCAAAATGAAGCTGGGCGTGTGGCTCGGCTGGTGCAGTGCTAGCCTGGTATGTACAAAACCCTAAGGCCAGTCATCAGCACCATATAAACCTGGCATAGTGGCACATGCCTGTACCAATCCCAGCACTTGGGTCAGGGACGTAACACCCAGGATATCCAAGACTGGAGTGGTTTGAATCATAGGCTCCCTGTGTCTGAAAAATCAGTCCCCAGCTGGAAGAACTGCTTCAGAAAGATTAGAGGTGTGGCCTTGTTGGAGAAGGTGTGTCACTGGTGGTGGGCTTTGAAGTTTCAAAGGACTCACCATGCTCTGGTGTTTTCTCTGTCTTGTGGTTGTCTCATGACATGAACTCCTAGCTACTGCTCCCATGCTGTGTCTGCCTGCCTTTACCACGCTCCCTGCCATGATGGTCATGAACTCAACTCTCTGAAACTGTAAGCCCCAGATAAACTCTTTCTTCTATGGGTTGCATTGGTCATGGTGAGTCTTATCACAGCAATGGAAAAGTAACTAAGGCAAAGACTGTCTCAAACAATCTCAAAATGAGCCGAGGCTTGGGTGTAGCATTCAAAACTACCACAGCCAAAAGGCAATACCATCATCCACCACTGCCACATTCTAAATAATAAACAACAACAAAAGACAAGACAGCTTAATAATCTCAAGACAGTAAAGTTAACAGGGGGCAAAGATAACGCAGAGGGCCTGTGTGTCATTTCTGTCCTCTTTGTACACGAGAATTGGCCTCTAATTAGAAGAGGTGGACAAAATATCCTAAGACAGAACTGCCACCCAAGACAGGAAAGGACCCAGTGGAAAAAAACTACAGGCTGCTTTTAGAAGCTCATTAGGCTGCACTGTCAAGCCCACAGGAAATCACTTTTATGCAGGAAATAGAGTGTGGCCAATGATCCTGAACACCACATTTAAGAGAGACAATCCCAAATCATAGCACATATCGGTAGATTCACAGGCTATCAAAAGGTATAGAGTCATATCTTACAAGAAATGACCTCTTTCCGAGGACTGGTACCACAGATCCATGGTAGAGCACTTTCCTAGCGTGTGTGGGTCCTAGGTTCAGTTCCCAGGATGAATGAGAGTCAAGGTGGGAGAAAAAGGAAGAAAGAAGACAGGCAGGCAGGCAGGCAGGCAGGCAGGCAGGCAACCCCAGCAAGGGCCTTTAGGAGATGTGAGAGCCATCCTCGAGGGAGAGGAGGAGACAAACTCCCTCTGCTGATTAGGAACCCAAGGCTAAGGGGAGGATCTAGTGTCTTGTGAAATGACAAGAAATACTCAATCCTAAGTAGAAGAGAGCCCCGTCTACAGGGCCCCGAATCGAACAGGATGCACTGAGTATAAGCTATACACCGAGCAGGCAAAGCTGAACCCGAACAAGCGGCAGTCAGAGTTATCATAAAGGAAACCAAAGGGGTTCTGTATGGGCGACAAGAGCTCCAGATAGATCCTGCCAAGAGACAAACCATGGAGAAGATGCTTTTATAAAGGCTATGAATGACAGTAGCCAGGTAGAGAGTCAGGCATCTGCAGGCCCTTGTTTGAATGAACCAACACTATCATATGACAACCCCCTTTACCTTTAATCTGCTTTTGGTACTTCTGCAGTTCAGGTGCCAGGAATCCACTGAAAGGCCCGAGGCATCCCACGGCGCTAGCCATGGCATCCTCGTCATCGGCCTCATTCTCCTCGTCACTGTCTCTGGCCTTACCGTGTCGCCTTGGAAACGTAAAGGAAGAAAAGGGAAAGGAGAAAATATAGATTTTCTTAAGTAATAAAATTTAAATGCCAGTTTGTGTGTGTGTTTGTGTGTGTGAGTGTGCGTGTGTGTGTGTGTGTGTGTGCGTTTTGTTCCCTTTCTTCCCTGACAATTTTGTTCCTGAGTTTTGTCCAATCTAATTGCCGTAGGTCAGCTCTGTTACCAGTTTCTTTCATATTCTCTAGTTATCTATGTGCAGATAAATAGACATAACTGTAGAGTTTGGTATGACTCTGAGAGTACACATACAGCCCTCTGTACCCTGCTTTTGATTTATTTAATAATAAAGTATTTCAGTATTCATCTCGAGCTCCCTTCATCTTTTTCACAGCTGTATTATATCCACACAGCTCAAGTTAATGAGCCAGGCTGCTAAGGATGCCCACCTTAGGGGTTTCCAGTATTATGCTAGTATAAAAATTATAATTTATGGGCTGGAGAGATGGCTCAGAGGTTAAGAGCATTGCCTGCTCTTCCAAATGTCCTGAATTCAATTCCCAGCAACCACATGGTGGCTCACAACCATCTGAAATGAGATCTGATGTCCTCTTCTGGCCTGCAGGCAGACACACAGACAGAATATTGTATATATAATAAGTAAATATTTTAAAAAATTATAATTTATTTGCATATGTAAAAATAAATCTGTGGAGAAATTTACAGATAGCATTGCTGAGAAAAAGGATCCACACATCAGAATTTGGGACAAATACTACCAGACTGTCACAAAGCCTGAATGACCTCTAATAAATAACACAGAAGAGTAGCTGTCTTATCAGTGATGGACATTGCACGCTATAACACCAACCTACCAGGCAAGATCATGACTGTTACAGGAGTGACCAATGGCTTTCTGATTGGGTTTGAGACCTGTCCTGCAGGAGGGAATTTGTGCCTATGCTCGGGGAGGTCACAGGCCCTACGTGGTGGGGAGACCTACCACTGTCAAACTGCTGTCTAAATATTGATATTTATGCCCATGGACATGTGCTGCTCTCAACTAGGAGCAGAGAAGTTTCTTATTTGCTGGGGACAGCCATTAATGCAGAGACCCATAACTGTCCTAAGTGCTGAAAATAAGTGACTGCCAAGGCTCAAACCTAATGAGACCTTTGAGTCAGCTCCTCTCCTTCCCAAGACGTGGAGAACACTGCAATGGATGAGGACGAAATAACATAAGAGGCGGAGCAGTGGGGGTGCCGTGAAATGCCGTCATCTAGACAGGACGTGGCCATTGCACCCACGAACCCACAGCACGAGACCTGTGTGGTGCCAATCGAGCCAGTCAAAACCCCAGCGTGGGTGGGAGAGGAAGCTCATGAAGCACCCACCCCTGGCTGAGGAGCTAGTGGCAGCTAATGGCTGCTAAGGAATGGAGAGTCATGTTTCTTTGAACCTGTAACCACAGGTAAGTTACCACTGTTCAGATGGTGGACCCCACACCCATGTGCATAGGGGTGGCACTAATTAACCTGGGGGTCCTGAAAAAGAGAGGGGTCATTAAATTGGGAGGGGACCTTTGGCGGGTCCAAGGGGAGTTGGAGGAGGAAGTGAAAGGTGGGTGTGAATAAAATACGCTACATACATGCATCAAATTCTCAGAGTAAATAGAAACGTAGTTTTAGAAAAGCTATCAGAGGGTAAATATTTAACCTGATTCAAACTCTGTACATGTACACATGTACTGAACATGAAAGGGAACAAACACTGCACAGGTGCACGTGTTGAACATGAAAGGGAACAAACTCTGCACATGTACACATGTATTGAACATGAAAGGGAAGAAATACTGCACATGTGCACATGTGTTGAACATGAAAAGGAACTCCATTGCTAAGAAGTTCTCACAGCCTTCCCAACAGAGGGTATTATCAGGGGTCTGACTCGGTGCCACTGTGACGGGTGAGGACAGACCAACAGACAAAACAGAATCCCCTATTTTAAGCTGGATCTCTCTGAGTGCTAGTGATGTTGCCCTGCCCACTCATCGCCATCTCTTGACTAGTACAGCGACCACCTTCCATTAATTTTTAAAATTTCATTAGAGGTAATAGTCTCCATTTTGTAAAAGTTAAAAATTATTTCCAAAAATGTTTTTGAGTCTTGTTATGAAGAACATGTTCTTTTTTGCTTTAGGTCATATAGGAAATTATTTTAATGTACTTAAATCTAATTCTTTTTCCTCCATTTCAGTCAGATACTAAGCTTTCCTCCATTCCAAAGAAGTAGGAATTCTTGCACGTTTACTTCTGCTAAGTATTTCTTTTTCTATCTTTTTTTCTTTTTGTCACTTAACATTTTCATCCAGATATGTGGTGTAAGGATGACTCTTTCCTGACTGTCTTTCATTGGGTCATGGCCATTGATTTTTCTCTGCTGATTTTTCATATTCTAGATTCTGTCTGTCTGTCTGTCTGTGTATGGATGTACAGGTACGTGTGTGTGTGTGTGTGTGTGTGTGTGTGTGTGTGTGTGACTTTCTGGCCTTTATAAAGAGTATTCTAAATCAGCTCATGCATCAGTTGGTGTGCCACTTCACCCTGTTTAAGTTACTGAGACTTTAAGTATTTTGCAGACTTAAATACACTTGCACATTTTTTTCTTCAGTTCATGTCCCACCTCGTGTGGGAAGCACACTTTGAACAGCTCTGTTGAAGCTAAGTCTGTAAACCTTTGGGAAAGGGTCCTTCAGGTTCTAAGTACCAAGTTAGTTCGCATATGTTCAAGGGCGTAAGTGTCACCTTACAATAACAAAACAAGGAAAAACAAAAAGCCACTTACCCGGAAACTGACATGGGCTTAACTGTGGCTGGGAATGGTGTGATGTTGTAGGTGTACTTTTCCCTCAGCTCCGCCAGCTGTGGGAAAGGGAACGGAGCCATCGAATAAACAGTCTGAAAGACAAAAGTGAAATTGCCAAGTCTTAGCTGGTGACCTTACAACTCCCATGAGTCCTGTGTTAAAGGGGTTGATGCTCAACAGGATGAGGCTGAGGAGACAGATATTGCTCCTCATGCGACATCTTCTTTGAAGAAAGACAGAAGTGTAAGGCAAGGATGGGAGTAACTCAGTCAGTAGAGTGCTTGCCTAGTATATCTGAAGCCGAGTTCAGTCTCCAGCACACATAAACACGACATGGGTGGTGCATGCCTATAACCCCAGGAGCGAAAGACAAGAAGATGGGGTCATCCTTAGCTAAGTAGTGCATTTGAGGCCAGACCAGGCTATATGAGATCCTATATAAACAAAATAAAATGAAGCCAGGATATTGCAGATTGGGTACCATCTCTAAGCGTTGATACAAAGGGCTCCAATATCTGAGGTATTTAGAGCACCAACATCATGTCCCCCCCAAAAAAAATAGTTCACATCTGATCCATGCAATGGGTTACAGACAAAAATAGGGATACATTCAAAATATGGCATAATACTACCTTCAGACACAAGTATGAAAATTGTATAACATAAAAATAAATCTTATGTTTAGATGTGTGCTCCATACCCAAGATCTCTCACTGCATACTTGCAAAGATTCCCCCAAATCTGAGTTATTTCTACTCCAAGCACTTCAGATAAGGGACATTCAACCCGTTCTAATAAACACAAGGGACCCCACAAATAGCCAGCTGCGTGTAGCCGAACATTCCAAATGAGGAGCATGGGTAGGGAAATTCGGGCATCTAGCATCCTCTTCAGAGTGTGTTTATACCATACTGTGATGTCTATACCGAAGAACCCACACATGCCCCTCCAAGGTCTGGCTTGTTTAAAGTGTTTTGATAATGCTCGGGCATTAACATCTGCTTTCTAAATAAAATTAAGTTTTGTGTATGACCTTGTGACTTACGGCAAGCTTTCCCCCAAAGAACCACCTTTTCAAAAGCCTAGAGAAAATTGCTGTTATTTTTAACGAGAAAGAAAAGACAATAAAAAGTTATCAAGTGTAGGCCGTCAAAAATCCATAAATAAAAACAAAGGAGCTGGGTGTGGTCGCTCACACTTTAATCCCAGCACTAGGGAGGCAGAAGCAGGCGGATCTCTGAGTTCAAAACCAGTCTGGTCTAGGCAGTGAGTTCCAGGACACCCAGAACTATCCTGTCTCACGAAAGCGGGAGTGGGGAGACACTTGGTCTTACACCAGAATTTTAAGACTCCGTATCTTCCCATTACCATGACGAGAAGACTTCTGCTGGCTCTCCTACTCTTAAATTTTAAGTGCTCCACACTCTAACCAACCCTTCAGTTTTCACACACCAGCGTGTCTACATCAATCACACTTTCATTTCTCCATAGACGCCAATCAAACATCCCGATGAGGGGCTGAAAAATGTCTTAGCGGTTAAGAATACTTGCTGCTCCTGCAAGGACTGAGGCTCAGTTCCCAGCACCCACATGGCAGCTCACAAGAGCCTGTGTGTGACTCCAGTTCCCAGGATTCAACTCCACCTTTTGTCCTTCACGAACCCAGGTATACACACAGTGAACATACGTTCAAACAGGTGAAATGCTCATGAATATTTATAAAGATACATAAATCTTTTTAAACAATATGTGCTGATGAGCCTTTTCTAGGAGAGTCTTTTTAGGTGGTTTGTCCATTTCAGCAAGACTGTTCCTCCGGAGCTGGGATGTGGCATGGTGGGAATGGGAGGACTCTGAAGGAAGCGTGATCGGTGCCGCGGCTCACTTGGTGGTTCGGTGCTGCTGCTGTGACACTTCACACCTATCCTGACTGTCCCCAAATGCCATGCCATGCACCTACATACTTTCTGTAGCAAGTCAAGATTCCAAACAAGCGTTGGCTAAACCCCCTTTTCCTCGATGCTTTATGCAAAGCTGCACAGCCCACAAGAGCACCAACCTTGTTTTTAAGCCGTCTGCTCACATACACTACATGCTTGATTATCCACAAGGCTGAGATGCAGCACAAATTTAGTAACACTACACAACTCTTCCCACACCCTCAGCAGAAACAGAAGGTTCCTTGTGGCTCCCATTAGCAAAGTGTGAGATGACATCAGCCCCCAGCCTCTCTGGGCGTCCTGGCCTAGTCTGAAAAATGCAGGGTGTGAAGCTCTGGATGATAATTCCCTACAGCAGGAGGGGTAGTTCAAGTCAGGGAGCAGCGCACGTGCACGCGGTGTGCATGTGAGTGTCCATGCGGTGAGCACGTGCGTGTCAGTGTGGTGAGCACATGCATGTCACCACATGCTTAGATTCTTAACTTGGGCCGCGTTTGAACGGATTTTGTGGTACTACACTTAACACGCTCTGTGTGCCTGAGTGCGTCATGTAATTGTATTAGTAGTGAATTCTCATGTTTGCTCTCCCAGAGATAACCAACAGCTGCTCACTTCCAGGGCCGAATTCTCCACACAGCCTTGCAAAGACATGCGGGCATGTGCAATCCTAGTCTAGGAACCCTAACTTTGGACCCAAGAAGTACCCCCTCTTAGATGTCAGCCGGGAAGAATAGAGTCAACTGAGCCTGACCATGCACCCACCAAAGGTCATCCCCAAACTGAGCAAGAATCACCCGACCCTGTCATTCGTGTAAACGTTTACCTGAGCAACTGAGAAACTTGACTTAAGCGGTTAAGAAATCACATCATTCATATTTTGTTTTAAAAAACAACCCCTCCCCCCAAAAAAATGTGAATACCTTCACTAGGAATTTCAAAACTGTTTAAGAATTAACCTAGATGTCTCGCTGACTAAAACTGGGGCACTGGCTCATGGTTTGCTTTGGCTCATGTTGTGTACATAACAGGGAACTGGAGTCTCCTAATCCCGCCTCGCAGAGGACGTTTACAAGGGAGGAATGAGCCGTAGCTGCCTCTGCTCCCAACCCTTCCTGCCTGGGGCAGAGGGAGGGGTTCCAACCAGGAATCATCAGAGCCACACGGGTGAACACTCCTGACACAAGAAAGGGACTCTGCTGGGCCTGCAGTTCCTTGTTCCCTCTTTATTTGTGGTTAGTGCCTCGAAGCAGACGCTGGTGCCCTGAAACCAGCTCAACCACAATCCTTCTTCACAGGGACACACTTAGATGTGTGACGGTCTCACATGGACACACGTATGTGACGGTCTCACAGGGACACACTTATGTATGTGACAACCTCACAGGGACACACATGTGTGTGACGGTCTCACGTGGACACAAGTATGTGACAGTCTCACAGAGACATACTTATGTGTGTGACGGTCTCACGTATGAAGACACATTTGGCCCACAAACATGAGCGTCCCTAGTAAATCGCTCGCAGCACTTGGTACATGGAAAGCTCTAGGGGTCCAACTGATAGGTCGGAGATTTACAAGAGATTCCAAGTACGGCTTTTTACTACGTCTCTTAGAGTCCACATGTGGTGCAGTAGCAGAATCTGAGAGTCCGAAGGGAATGGAAACATAATTTAGCTCAACGTCCCTCCTTGTCCAGCAGGAACCCCTTTGGAGCGTCACCGACAGAGGCCTCAAAGGCGCTGCCTAAACACTTCCAGTTCCAGGCTCACACTACTGTAGGGCAGATGGCTTCCCTTTCTGACAGCTAATTAATCAAACATCGTCCTTCTATTGAACAAGCACCAACATCCTTGACATCTCCAGTCCCTCGCTGACGGAGGAAAAGTGAACAGCGTGGGCCAGAGGCAGATCGGGCCCCACTCGTGACAGCTGCCTCCAGATGACAGTTTGTCATCCAAACAAGGTCAGGGTTTCAAAACACCTATGAATAATTTTCCCTACATTGTCCTCAAGGAATTTACCAAATATATTATCCACAATCTACTGCGACCCAGACACCGTACATCCTTAGGATCCCTCAACCTCCCTGTCTAACGCTATCAATTAAAGAAAATCAGAAGGGCTGGTAAGATGCCTCTGTTGGTACCTCTAAGTCTAATGACCTGAGTTCAACCCCTGAGACCCGCACAACAGGAGGAGAGAATTTGCTCTGGAATGTGCTTTGTGACACGTGTATATCAGCAAACACGCACACACACAAATAAATAAAGACATGATATTCTTTAAATATCCAGTGGCTGATGTAAAATCAGTGGAAGGCGATGTGATCTATGCAGGGAAGAGAGGCTCAGGTCCAGTATATTCGTCTGTGTACACTGTTTAGAGAGGACTGGGGAAGGTCCAGGTGGGAAAATTCCTGTATCCTCTTTAGCTCAAAAGTAAAAACCTTATATTCAGTTCACATGTGTGCCACGAAGCCATTTCAAGTGTGCTGACAGATTTCTGGTCGCTATAGCGGGATCAGCCACTGATTTTTTTTTTTTAAGAGCGAAGAAAGAAAAGCAAGTGGCTTGAAATGGCGCGTGCCATCTCTGTCTCTAACACTCCTTCACGCCAAGGAAAACCGGCAAGCTGACTCTCGGAACTACTAGTGTGAATTTAAATAGACGTTTATATTTAGGCCCTGTTGAAAGGGAGCTACGTTTCCTTTTCCACTATTGACACGTTTAATGAGAAACATGGAAATGTAATGTGTAAGACTAGGCTTTGCTGGTCTGCCCACAGACAACGGGAGAAGGGCGTGCTGCAGACGTGAGCCTCGCAGACCTACAGCACTCCCTCAGAAGACACAGCTAAAAGCCACCCTCTCTCCTAATGCCTAGCAAGAAATGCGGGTTCCATCACAGCTTTCATTCCTCCCGGCAGCGTTTAAACTCTCAGGGAACTGGTGTGTGGCTTCTTCTAACAAGGACTTCACTTTTAGAAAGACATCTTTAGAATATGGTGTTGGTGCTGTCAGGAAAAGCATTAATTGGACCAGAAGTCAGGAGCATGGGTCTCAGTCCTGGGTCAACTACTAAATAACCAAGAAACTGGCAAACGGCACAATTCTAACTCCTGGTTTCCTCATCAAATAGAGTTAGATAAGTTGTGATCTGTAAGCTCCATCCAGTCAGTGTTTTCCTAAGTGTCTAATGCCACCTGCATTCGAGGGACCTGTTCACCAGCACTGCTGTTGAATACATCCCAAGGATATTTCTTATACACAGTCGCTTTGAAAGCAACTGCCTCTTGACTCAACAGTCTATGATTCAGCGTCTCCACTGAGCAAGCAGTTATATGTTTAGCACTCCGCTGGGCACTATAGAGAATGTAACAAAGTCCCTTTCATTAAAGGACCAGTGTCTTCCTTAGAAGGTTCACACACTTCACAAAGCAGCAAACAATAGCAAATAATCTGCCTTTAACGTTCAATCAATTGCTGAACATCTTCCATACCAAAGATGTACCAGAGGAGGCGCCATCGGTGAAGGCTGAGGTAACAGAGCAGAGATGGAAGACCTGGTGAACTAGTAGAATTGTCCTGAATGGAATGGCAGCAGGGACATGGCCTATAGAGGCTTGGGCAAGGACAGATCTGTGACCAGAGTGAGTGCTCCAGCTGGAAGGCAGTGCAGAGGACCACACATGTGGAACAAAAGCTCACCTCCAGGCGCCCTGTCTGGAAACAAGCCTACCTTCCTCCCTCATAAATGCTACTGTCTTGTATCCCTATTTTTCTTCTTCATCCCTATACCGTGTTGACAGCCTCATCTAGCCAATGTCACTTGGCATGTACTGTCTCTGTCCCGTTCTGGTCCTCACCCTCCACTGCCTCCCTCACAGACCATGCTGGTGTCAGATTAACCTTTTCAAATCTACACATCCCATCTTTCTGTAGAGCTGACAGGAAACACAACTCAGGCCATTTTCCTCGTGTACTTAAAAACCTTCAGGTTCTACAGTTCCTGTTTTCCCTTAGCGAAGGGTCCAAAGAGACCCTACAACTGCAGCAAGTACAAACACTGACCTAAAGACCAAGCCAGATTCCTTGCCACTTCCAGAACCCAGTGCCTGAAGAGCAAATCCTTGTGGGGCTCCTCACCTACCCTATATCAATCAACACCATCCTTTATTCCTGCTGCTTCCTCGGCCACTGTTAGGATTTGCAATGATATGTTTGGTCTTGGGGTGGACGAGGAGTTGACTTGTTAGCCTTCATTGCCAGCTTGGCTAGATTCGAATCACCTAGGAGACACAGCTCTAGACAACAAGGATGTTTCCAGAAGGTTTAACTGGGAAAGGAAGGTCCATTCTGAAGATGGACAGCATCATGCATGGGCTAGCATTTGAAACTGAATAAAAAATTAAAAGCAAGCGTCCTCTCTTCTTTGCTTCCTGGTCCTCCCAGATGTAAGAAATTCCAGCTGTGTCTTCCTGATCACATGATTCCACTATGACTCTTCTGTGCCTGCTGTGCCTGCCGTGCCTGCCCTGCCATGATGCTGTACCCATCTAAACCACAACCCAACTAAAATTTTGTCTCTTAAGTTACTTTTCTGTTACAGCAATAGGAAAAGCAACCAACAGAGCCACCAACCGTCTATCGTCTCTGCACTGGTGGCTTCAACACACACTGTCCTGGCTCACGCCTCTGTTGCTGTGATAAACATCATAACCAAATCCAATGTAGGCAGAAAGGGCTGATTTTAGCATACAAGATCACAGTCTTTTGGTGAAGGAAATCGGGGTAAGAACTCAAACAGGAACCTGGAGGCAGGAACCGAAGCAGAGACCATGGAGGAACGCTGCTCACTGGTTTGGTCAGCTTACACAGCTTTTATACAGCCCAGAACTACCCGCTCACAAGTGGCACCACCCACAGGGGGAAGAGCCCTCCCATATCAATCCCCCATCAAGGCCATACCCGACAGACTTGCCTGCAGGTCAGTCTGATGGAGGCATTGTCTCAGCTGAAGTCCCCTCTTCCCAGATGACCCTAGCTTGTGTCAAGTTGACAAAACACATGCTCACAGATGTGCTGTGAAATGTATGTGCAACCCCAACATACAGGCACAGAGCTGGACCATCCCTATTTATCCTTAAAGGTGAAACCAGACATCAATTCCCTCATGGAAGCATCCTCTAACTTCATCTCCCTTCCCACTATTACCTTGGGCCCCTGGGAATTAAATCTCCTTCTCCTCAGTCCTATACACCTCTCAGTGCACAACCCCAACTTCCTCTTCCCACATGTGTCTCCAATCTAGATGCCGAGGAACTAACTTTCAAGAAAATCAATATTGGAGAAGTTCCAATTCAAAGGACAATATAACAAAGAAGTGACCAGAGCGAGAAGAGAATGATCACCCAGGCAGCAAAGCGCGGACTGCAGCAGAGCTAAGAAACTATAGCAGGGCCATCCTCTATGACCGAATAGGAGAAGGCAGAAAACAAACCACGGATTCTCAATGAATATTTGTTTCAGGAATTAATTTTTTATGATTTATTTATCTTTTTATTTTATGTGCATTGGTGTGAAGGTGTCAGGTCCCCTGGAACTGGATTTTTCAGACAGTTGTGAGCTGCCATGTGGGTGCTGGAATTGAACCCGGGTCCTCTGGAAGAGCAGTCAGTGCTCTTAACCGCTGAGCCATCTCTCCAGCCCCTGATTCAGGAATTAATAAGCCTTCCGAGCAACTCTCATCTCAAGAACAGAAAGCTAAGCACAGGCCCTGTACTCAAGGAACTTACGAACCTTACAGAGGAAATAAGATGCAGTCTTAGATGCAGTGGAATGAAGTCAATGCTCCCGTAAGAGGCTTAAATGAAAGCATGAAATGGGCGCTTCTAGTTTAGAAGATGAGAGAAACTTCAAGAAGGGCAGACACTTCCTGAAGGAAGATATCTGAGCTCAGGAGAAGCGAGACTGTACAAGGAGGGCAAAGGTCTGGAGGGCTGTGTTTCCAGTCACTGGAAAACAATCGGACCCAACATAAAAGGGACGATCAGGCACCCCGCCTGAAGGGGAGAGAGTGGGGACCACAGTATGATGAATCTGTGCTGTGAGGAGCCCTCGGCAAGTCATAGGAGAGGAGGAAGGGCTCGTCTCTCCCCAGATACTGCTTGGAGCACATGATTCCAGCACTTTTGTAGGACTTCACAGAATTTCATGCATGGAAAACGCCAGGCATGGAGCTGGGCCGCAGAACAATGGTCAGTAAAAGAGGCCTCACTCTCAGAGAGGAGAGCAAAGACCAGTATATATGAGAGGTGCTAGAATCAGAGTCCAGTCGTCAGGGTCACACACACAGTTCCTCTTTTGAGAGAGGAAAGAGAGTTGAGCCTCAACGGCTCAAACACAGATGCCTAGGGAAGTTATATCAGACTGTCGGTATTCCCAACAATCAGACGGGTTCAGCTAGGAGCGAGAGTTCCTGGGGAGGAGCTGTGGGTCCAGGAGACGGGTAGAGGAACAATACTCATTTCTCCAGCCCTAAGTCAGTGCCCGAGTCCTAATTATAGTCTCGCAGATAAATTCCAGCATCCGTAATGACCATAGGCAGGAAACCCAACATGAAGGTGGTACCAAGAGAAATAAGAGAGAGACAAGAAAGCCAGTCCAGGGGACAGCTTTGGATATAAACCACAGTGATCTGGGACAACAGGGAGATGTGGAGAGAGCGGAAGGAACCCAAAGCACCAGAGGAAACGAGGATGAAATGATGTCCCAGAATGTCGTGGAAAAACACACCAGAAAAATAACCAACCCTCGTGTCTCTCACAGAGACTTGTAATCAATGCAGGATAGCACCCGCTAACCATAAACCAAGATGCAGACTGATTTCCATCTCGCCCTCCCTTCTCCTCATAAATACGTCACCCGTCAGTCTTCCTGTAACAGGTCTCAGAAGCCGGGCCAGCAAGATGGCTCAGCAGGTAAGAGGGCCTGCCACACAAGTCTGACAAGCTCTCTGTGGAGGGACAGAAACAACCCTTTAGGGTTACCCTCTGACCTCCGTGGTACGCACGTTCCTGCACTCACGCAGTGTATGCACACCAAGCAATAATAAAGGTTCAGATTCTCAATGAGTACCTGATGACTTTGCTTTTTCCCAGTTTGTTTACCTTGTACCTAAGCCTGTCTAGGGAACAAATAGCCATTCGTTTCTTCCTTCCTCTTGTGATGAAGATTCTTACCAAATTATAGATTCTTGGCCAATGGAAAAACTATGTCGGAGGACTGGCTCAATACATTTCTCGAAGATCGGGGCTCAGAACAGCATCATCTGTCACTCCCTCGGTCTTGGGTTTCCATGTCCGCACTGCCTACACTGGCCGCACTGCCCACAGTGCCCACACTGCCCACAGTGCCCGCACTGCCCACACTGCCTGTACTGCCCTCACTACCCACACTGCCCGCACTGTCCACACTACCCACAGTGCCCACACTGCCCTCACTACCCACACTGCCCGCACTGCCCACACTGCCCACAGTGCCAGCACTGCCCACACTGCCCACAGTGCCAGCACTGCCCACAGTGCCAGCACTGCCCACACTGCCCACACTGCCCACAGTGCCCTCACTACCTGCACTGCCCTCACTACCCGCACTGCCCACACTGCCCACACTGCCCACAGTGCCCACACTGCCCACATTGCCCACACTGCCCACAGTGCCAGCACTGCCCACACTGCCTACACTGCCCTCACTACCCACACTGCCTACACTGCCCACACTGCCCGCACTGCCCACACTGCCTACACTGCCCTCACTACCCACACTGCCCACACTACCCACAGTGCCAGCACTGCCCTCACTGCCCACACTGCCCACGCTGCCCACAGTGCCCACAGTGCCAGCACTGCCCTCACTGCCCTCACTGCCCACACTGCCCAGCACTGCCCACGCTGCCCACGCTGCCCACAGTGCCAGCACTGCCCTCACTGCCCACAGTGCCAGCACTGCCCACAGTGCCAGCACTGCCCGCACTGCCCACACTGCCCACTCACCTGCATGAGTTCATGGCTCTGCAAGAGATTGTTTTCCAGCATCTCCTGGGTGAGACGCCCCATGGTGCTGTAGAACTCATCCGCGGTTTCACAACCCTCTATCTGCCTAGACGGAGAACAAGACAGAAAGGGGACTCGGTTAGCGCATTTGTGCTGCACGACACACCCACGCCCATGTGCACCTCTCTCATCATTGAGCTAGCGACAGAAGTATGAGCTCCTGCCACACTCCTGCGATGTAGTCTGCTATGGAGGAAAGAGCAAGGGCAAGTGGCCATGTCAGCGTTCCTGCACACCAACTACTAAGAAGGCTGACTCAGCAAGGTCTTTGAGCCCAAAGTTCAAGACCAGCCTGGGACACATGGCAAGACCTAACTTTAAAAAAAAATGAAGACAAAACAAAATAAACACTGAAAGTAATTTTGAAGTAGTCATTACAGAATGAGCTCCCATCTTCCCTGCACAGCTCCCTGAGTCTCACGGCCCCGTCGGGTGTCTTTACTCTTTACTCTTCCCACATGGCACATCCTCTGTATCAAAGTGCACATCAGTGACCAGAAATCAGAACCACAAAATTGAAACTGAAAAGCAATTATCCCCTGTAGAATACTAGTCAACCCTACTCTGCGGGGAGAGCATGAACAGGCGGAGTTCGAACCACAGTGGAGTTAAAGAGGAAAGGAACTTCTCATCAGTCTACAGACTGTTTCCACAGGCATCACCGAATTCTTCTCAGGGAAGTGGCTGTCATCTCGGAAACTATGAGACAGGTGAGATTTTAATCTGTCTTCTAAGGAGGAGGAAAGGGAATGACACAGGACTGGGCTCTAGGTGTCTTTGTCCAGTACAACCTGGACAGTACAAAAACCTTTGTCCAGTACAAAGGTTTTTGCATGGTAGGATAATTCCATTTGCCCACTAACCAGAGGCATGTTTTGACAGGCACTAATGCTGGGCTATTTTCACAGAGTTGTTAAAGAACTGTAATGAGAAAATCACAGACTCAAATCCCTCGGTAGCACTGTGCAAATAAGAACGTGAAATACAGTGGGGAAGGGCTGTTAGGGATACAGCAGGGCAAGGGGACATGATAGAAAGCAGTTATGCTCCCCCTGGGAAGAAAAAACAGAACAAAATGCTTGAGATGAGCTTTGAAAAGAAGCTCTGTGGTTGCCAAGGAGAAAGCAGCGTTGCAAAGGCCTGAGGCGGAGAGAGCAAGGCTGTGTGGGACATCTTTGCTGCCTCCCAAGTCCAGCTGATGTTAACAAGAGGGAAATCACTGCAGAGCCAGAGGGAGCCCGTGAGCCTTGAAGGCAGAGCGCTGCAGATCACAGTGGCCATATCTACCTTCTAAGCCTCTGCAGGACACAAGTGATCCAGGGGTTTTTAATAGGGAATGATGAAGAGCCATGCCCTTGGCAAGGCTGACCTAGGGGTGGCTTAGCACGCTTGGGGCACAATTAGCAGGACTGAGGAGGACACATGCCACGTGGGAGGCGATGAGTGTGCCAATATGGGAAGTCATCGGAGAATGGCGGACAAGAGGCTGTCACAGTGAGGGGGTAGAGAATTCAAAATGGCTCTGCTGAGGGAAGGAAGGAATTCTCGGCTGCAAGAACAAGGCAAATAGAGGGGCCCTTCAGACAATACAAGGCACAAGGTTGCCTACACACCATGGATATTTTCCTGGTGCTACATCTGCGAGGAAGCTTCACAGGCTGTGGAGTCTGAAGCTCCAGGCACAAGCACCAGCCCCACTTCTCATTAGCAGCGCGACTGTGAGCGAGTTAATTAACCTTCTCGGGATGATTTTCTCACTTGAAAAGGCAGGGAGGAATAATCTCCCCAGCTCCGCCGGGTTATTGAGAGAACCAAATGAGATAATATGCTCAAGCTGCCTACTGTAATGACAGGCGCTGTCAGCACTGGATGGATGTTGGTGGCCTTCCCTTGCTCCTTACAAGTCGCACGCTGAAAAGATGTATAATTATCATGAGCGAAACCCCTGAAACATTCGCAGTTCATAAACAGGAGCCATTTCTGAGCATGGGGATTTGCATAATGAAAAGCACAAATTCGAGAGCCAGGATGCTTTGGTTCAGAACTGCATCTCCCACTTACTAAATGGGTGATTTCAGGCAATTCATTAAACTCTGAGCCTTGGTTCTCAGATCTGTAAAATGAAGGTGGGCTGGGGAGATGGCTCCGCAATTAAAAGTGCTTGCTGAGTTCGGTCCCCAGCATCCACCTTAAGTGGCTCACAACTGCCATAATCCCAGCTCTAAGAGGACCCAGCACATGGCAAGCACTCCGAGAGTGCCAATTCTTACTTGCTGCAATTATGATTTCACCAGTGACTATCCTGCCACCACCCAGGGATACATTCTGATGTGGCAGGAAGTGAGCAGGGGGAAGCAGTAGAATCACCCCTTTTGTTACACTCGGGAAGTGTACAGTGTAAAGCAGGCCGGAAATACATGAGTGCAGAAAGAAAGGCACATGGGGGGACGTGAAAAGACATAGTAAACGGCACAGCAAACCTCACAGAGGTAAAATTGTTGGCTTGTCTGGAAATCACCGTACAATAAAATAAAGACAAAAGAGGACAGCTATGGCATGGAACAATTCTGTATTCTGTCAATTATGTTTTAAATAAACGCTGATTGGCCAGTAGCCAGGCAGGAAGTATATATAGGTGGGACAGCCAGACTGGAAGTAGAGGCGGAACAATGAGAACAGAAGTATTCTGGGAAGAAGGAAGCTCTTCCTGCAGTCCTGTCCAGACACCGAAGAAGCAAGATGTGACCTGTCCTGCTGAAAAAGGTACTGAGCCATGTGGCTAACATAGATAAGAATAATGTGTTAATATAAGTTATAAGAGTTAATATGAAGCCTGAGCTAAGGGGCCAATTGTAACTAATGTAGACTTCTGTTGTGATTCTTTGGGGATTTGTCAGCTGTGGGAACTGGGCAGGACAGAAACCCCAACAAGCAGGCCCTCATGTTACACAGCTATGAGATAATAAGATAACAAAAGAAGATCAAGGGAACACAAATCAGAAAAGAAGTCAAACTCTCACTATTTGCTGATGATACAAAAGTTTACAAAAGCAACCTCAAAGAGTCTACCAAGGAACTTCTACAACTCATAAACACTTTCAGTAATGTAGCAGGATACAAGATTAACTGAAAAAAAATCGGTAGCCACCCTGTACACAGATGATAAAAGGGCTGAAAAAGAAATCAGAGAAACAACACCCTTCACAATAGCCACAAATACCATAAACTATCTCGGAGTAACTCTGACCAAACAAGTGGAAGACCTGTATGACAAGAACTATACATCTTTAAAGAAAGAAATTAAAGAAGACACCAGAAAATGGAAAGATCTCCCATTCTCTTGGGTAGGTAGAATTAACATAGTAAAAATGGCAATCTTACCAAAAGCAATCTACAGAATTAATGCAATGCTCATCAAAATCCCAGCAAAATTTTTCACAGGCCTCGAAAGAATGGTACTCAACTTCATATAGAAAGGCAAAAAACCCAGAATAGCCAAAACAATCCTGTACAATAAAAGAACTTCTGGAGGCATCACAATCCCTGACTTCTAACTCTACTACAGAGTTGCAGTACTGAAAAGAGCCTGGTATTGGCATAAAACTAGACAGGAGGACCAAAGGAACCAAATCAAAGACTCAGATATCAATCCACACAACTACAAACACCTGATTTTTGACAAAGAAGCAAAAAATATAAAATGAAAAAAGAAAGCATATTTAACAAATGGTACTGGAATAACATGTAGAAAAATGAAAATAGATCCATATCTAATCACCATGCACAAAACTCAAGTCCAAATGGATCAAAGACCTCAACATAAAGCCAACTACACTGAATCTAATAGAAGAGAAAGAGAGAAATACACTTGAATGCATTGGCACTGGAGACCATTTCCTAAATATAACCCCAACACACAGGCACTGAGAGAAACAATTAATAAATGGGACCTCCTGAAACTGAAAAACTTCTGTAAAACAAAGGACATGGTCAACAAGACAAAATGGTAGCCTAAAGAATAGAAAAGGATCTTTACCAACCCCACATCAGACAGAGGACTGGTCTTCAAAATATACAAAGAACTCAAGATATTGGTCATCAAAAGAACAAATAATCCAAGAAAAAAATGGAGTACAGACCTAAACAGAGAACTCTCAACAGAGGAATCTAAAATGGCTGAAAGACATTAAAGGAAATGTTCAACATCCTTAGTCATCAGAGAAATGCAAATCAAAACATCTGAGATTCCATCTTAACACCTGTAAGAATGGCCAAGATCAAAAACACTGATAACAACTTATGCTGGAGAGGTTGTGGGGTAAAGGGAGCACTTCTGCATTGCTGGTGGGAGTGCAAACTGGTACAGTCCCTTTGGATATCAATATGGTGATTTCTCAGAAAATTAGGAAACAACCTTCCTCAAGACACAGGAATACCACTTTTGGGTATATATCCAAAGGATGCTCAATACCACAAGGACATGTGCTCAACTATGTTCATAGCAGCATTGTTTGTCATAGCCAGAACCTGGAAACAACCTAAATGCCCCTTGACCAAAGAATGGATAAGGAAAATGTGGTACATTTACACAATGGAGTACTACACAGCAGGAAAAAAAAGATGACATCTTGAAATTTGCAGGCAAATGAATGGATCTAGAAAACATCATTTTAGGTGAGGTAACCCAGATCCAGAAAGACAAATACCAGATGCACTCACTCATAAGTGACTTTTAGACATAAAGCAAAGAAAATCAGTCGACAATTCACAATTCCAGAGAACCTAGACAACAATGAAGACTCTAAAAGAGATCTAATCTACAAGGGAAGTAGAAAAAGACAAGATCTCCTGAGTAAATTTGGAGCATGGGGAACATGGGAGAGGATATAAGGGGAGGGGAGAGAAAGACTGGGGAGCAGAGAAAAATGTATAGCTCAATAAAATCAATTAAGATGACAGCTATGTGATGTTTACAAATACATATATTAATGATTTTTTTAAACCCTAGAATTGATAGTTCCTGGATTTTTCCTTTTAAAAGTTCTTTTCAGAAACAAGTTATAAATAAAAAGTCTAGCTAAAAGTTTTCGAGACAGAGTGGACAAGATGGCTCAGTGGGTAAAGGAGCTTGCTGCCAAGCCTGGCAACTTGTGCTCCACGCTCAGAATCCAAACAGCGCAAGAAGAGAGCCAACTCCTGCAAACTGTCTTCTAACCAACATATGTCACAGCACCATGCACCCATGCATGGAAAGACACATAAATAAGTAAGTGTAACTTTTACAACATTTAAAGCAAAACACTGCCAGTGGCTTGTTAGTGTTCTGGCATGTTGTCATGGATGCCTGCTCAAGTCATTCACGGAAAATTTTTCTGCTTCTTGAGTTGGCTATAAATGATCAGAACTGCCATCTTTCTCACTACCAGGAAGGGAAATAAGTGAAATCTGGTTGGTATCATGCTCTGGAAGAACCAGATTTGAACATCTAAGAGATTCCTCATGAATGGAAGGGAAGCACCTTCTATTGGGCTGCTCACTCTGTAAGCACATACACACCTCCTGCTCACTCTGCAAGCACACACACACCTCCTGCTGACTGTGCAAGCACACACACACCTCCTGCCGACTGTACAAGCACACACACACCTCCTGCCGACTGTGCAAGCACACACACACCTCCTGCTCACTCTGCAAGCACACACACACCTCCTGCTGGCTGTAACAAGCACAGGTACAGTTTGCGCAGTGACTGTCATTTAATTTCATCCCAGCTCCGAAGGCAGAACAAAGTGGATAATAAAGATTCATAAATAACCCAAGAGCCAGGTGTAATGATGCAGACCTATAATCCCAGCACGTGGGAGGTAGAAACTGGGGATTGGGAGTCGAAGGTCATTCTCCACTTCATAGTGAGTTGAGGCTAGATAAAACTCTGTCTCAAATAAGAAAAAAAAAATTCCAATTGTTATGTGAGCCAGCAAGTCTGCCTATTTCTTTACAGAGACAGCCATTTCTTCTCTAGCTATGCCCCCCATTCCTCCTCTGGAAAGCCTGAGGGTGGTCAAATATTGCAGGCACAATCTCGAAGAAGCCTGCCATCCCAGACGAGAGTCCCTCTCTCCCAGAAACGCCTCTGGCTGGGCTGGTGGAGGTTCCTGGAGGCTAACACAATTCACCACAGCCCACAGCTCTCTCTTTCTCACACATACACATACATGCCAATGTTTCACACTCTAGAGACCAAAGGCTGCTAACCAGAGTGCAGCTAACACTTACTCTCCCAGCTTTGCCCAGATAGCCAGCGACACCCTCAGGATGATCTCCGAGCCTTCAAAGAAGACTGAGTCCCAGATCTTCAAAACCGTGTGGTTAGGGAGGCACGTGGCAAAGAGAGTGAGAAACCATTGCATTGTGAAGACGTTGGTGAGCGGGGGCTCGTAGCCACCTGAAACGAAACAAGACAGAAGTCGTCTAGAACGGAGATCTGTAAGACACAGTGCCGGTTCTTTCTCATGCCACCCAAACAGGGCTGCTTCCGGGCAGCTTTCTTCAATCCCTTACTGGCTCTTTCCTCCTTTCCCCTCCTGTGTTTCTAGAAGAAATCTGTTACAGAAAATTCCAAGACTCAATGTCATAAATTCTTTGCCACGCTTCACAAAGTTTTACCTGAACTAGATCTGGGTCTGCTTTATTGAAGGCTGCTTGAGATTAAGGAGAGTTTCCCTCACCAAAAACACTGCGGAAACAACCGTGACGTCTCACAAGCAAACACAAGGGCTGGGAGTAGAGCAGTCACAGAGTGCTCATCTGGCACCTCGGAGACCCAGGCTCAAACCCAGCACCACCCAAACAAAAGACAAAACAAAATGCCAGCAAACTTTCAAAACCTTACAGAGCCCACTTTAATTCAAATGCAGCTATGATGACTAGAATTCCTTATTATAAATTACTTGTCTCTTAAGTTATATAATTCCCAGGTCACAATTGAAAGCAAGAAAACAAGCTGGAAAACTTCCAAAATGTTTAAATGTTAAACGGCTTAAACATTAGACTACTTTGAACTAAGTGATTCATAGAAGACATTTAAAGACACATCTAAGGATAAGACAGATCTTGGCCCATTTTGAATTTTCTGACTTTACTAAAAGCCCAGCGTTCCTTCCCAGTTTGGGTGACTATAAATGTCTATTAGATTTTTAGATGGATGTTTCCAATGACTGTCAATAAGTACAACTACCTAAAAATAAGTAAAAATAAAACAAGACAAATACTTTCTTCTTTCCTGTGAACAAATATTTGGGCAGAAACTAGATTCTGAGGTTATTCCTTGTTATCAGGAGCAAAGGATCTTGAATAAAAACATAGATTTCAATTGCTTGTATCTGCCACTACCTTGAACGTACAGTTATAGCAGCACCAAGCCATACAAGAAGGTCCTTAGAGACACGCAGCTGTCTCAAAACCTCCAGTGTATTTTAATAACAACTACATCTTCACAACCCATTAATATAGCTGGGTATGCTGGTACAAACTAGTCACTTCAGTACTAAGAGGCTGAGGCAGGAGGATTTCTGTTAAGTCTGAGGCCAGCATGGGATACATAGTGAGACCCTGCCTCAAAAACAACAAAATCCTTCCGTGTGTCCCCCATTATTGTCATTTCACCTCTTTTTTTAGGGGGGTAGTACAAGGGATCAAACTAGGGCCTCGACACATGCCGGATAAGCACCACCACTGAGCTGCAACCCCAGCCCTGTGCTCCCAGCTTTAAATGATCAGGCCAGGCTGCAAGTGCAGTCTGCCACAGCAACTGGCAATCTGAGAAGTGCCTCACGCAGGCACATTATAGCTAGAAGGGGCCAGGGAGCCCAGAGTCACTCTTCTCTAACCTTATTGCTTCTACCGACGTCACGGTCTGCGATAAACAGCATTGCACCTGTAGCTTGGCTTATCAAAGTCCTACTGACGCCAGTTTAGCATAGCTGACCATAGCTAACCAGGAAGGCCTGTGCGCCAGTCTCCACGCAGAGCTCAACAGACCCTACCAGTTGCTGATCTGGAATCAGCACAGTTGGGCTTTCAACCAACCACCTGCCCATATCCACTCCAAGTTCCAGCATGAGGCCCTACATATTTCCATTCTGTGTCTGTTCTCTGGAAATAAAAGTATTTGATCACACTACAGTCTTTAAGTAGAAATATCTGGCGACCTGGGCTTCCATACATTCAGAATGTGAACTCGTACATAGAGCAGAACCAGAGAAGCCAAACACTTCCCGAAATGTAATAGCCACGAGCCATCGTTACCTCCGCTCTCTTTGTTTGCCGTTCTCTGAAGAGCATCGAGGTGCTGAGACAGCTCGGGGAGCTTCATTCTCAAGAGGTCTCTGAAGACAGCCATGTCCACAGACAGTGCCCGAAGGTTATTGACAAAGTAGCTCTCGGGAAGTACCTTGTCAATCAGGTAAATCATAATCTAAAAAAAGAATATAACAAGACTACTTCAGACCCACCAGGTTCCCAGCAGGCCCAAAGGAAAAAGCACATCCAAATAGACCAAAGCAGCTAGTCAAAGCACACAAGCCTCCCAGTGCGTCAGAAACCAATTCAGGACTCACCTACACCAGACACAAGGAGCGGGTGGCATAATTATCTAAGTAACCCAAAGTCAGCTGTGCTGTGAAGTTTCTAGAAGGGCTGCCAAACCTGAGTTCACCCCGTACGTAGCTGTGATTATACAACCCTCAGTCTCATGGAGAAATGAGAAACCACAAGCTCCCAGCTTTCAGCAGGATCCTCGGTCCTGGCTCCTTGATGTCAGAGGGCTTTACAACCTGGATACGAAAATCCCAAGAGTGGCCTGTCGTAAAACACCCACGCTAAGGCAGGCCTCGAGATGCACGTGTGGCTCCCTGGGCTATCAGAGAGACCGACGCCAGCCTTAGAGAACACAGCGAGGTCTTGTTTGCACACTTGGAGCCTGGTAAAATGTCTCCTCTCCTAGCCCTGTCACACGAGATCCTCAAATTACTGTTTCGTTCTGATTGCTGTACTTGTGTTACCTTTTCTAAAAGTCAGAAGTCCCTCAAATGACCCATCAGAGCCCACGCCAGTTCTGTGCAGAGCCTTTCCCAGAGGGCCTCAGCTACAGCTGTGTGATGCCCCACTCCCTGGAAGTCCAGCTCACTCCCCAGAACACCAGAAAAACAAAGACCAAAACCACACAGGGCTCTGTATGCTCACGGGGAAATCGCTGTCTCATAGGATCCCACAAAACCCCATTTTCAAAAAAGAAATTACTTTTTAGCCCTGCCAAGGGCCTATTTTTCCCCCCACTTGTGGTTTGCAGCTTTTGTTTTTCAGGTCTTAGCTCCGTGTATAAGGCAGAGCCCAGGAAATCCCTTTGCAGCCTTCCACACAGGATGGGCAGCCCAATGAGTCATACCTTTGCTACATTAGGATGGGATTTACCACATAAATGGATCACCTGTGAGGCAGAAGCTCAGCCACAGGGGAAATACAAAAATTCACCCAGTCCCTGCAGAGAGAGGGCAGCCTAGGAGGACCAATGTGGGAAGAGGGAATGGAGTCGCAGGACGGAAGAGCACATGAGGGCTCTGGCGGGCATGGGTCATCGAAAGAAGAGGTGGTAGAATGATGGAGCCAGACTTCAAGGTCATAATCTGCCCCGTCGCTGCATTTCACGCCGTTTATACAGTACTGAGAAAAGAGATTATTCATTGTGCTGGTGACCTAACCCATATACCAGGCAAAATGAAAATCTCAAGAGCTGCCCTGTCATGAAAGGCCCACCCTAAGGCAGGGCGCCCACCCGATGCACTCACTGCCACCCGGATCACCTACGGTCCACATACTTGGCCTCCCGTATGCAGGCAACCAACTTCGCTCCAGAGGTGCCACTCAACCCTAACACCTTTGTATAAGAAATTATGACCTCTTTAAAACTGAAAAAAAAAAAATCTTCAGTTGTGCTGGTAGTTCTTTTCTGTGCACATGCGCGATGGGGGGGGGGGTCCTGTGGAAGGCGCATGCTCACATGAGAACAAGTACAAGCGTGGGACCGAGGATGATGCGAGACGCCGGCTTCAATTACCTTACGCATTGGAGCAGAGCTACTAGTCTGGCTAGCTAGCTTGTTCACTTAGGGACTGCCCCCCTCACTCTACCCACGGCTGGATTTCAAATACCAGGTCTTACATCATAAAGTAAGATGAGGAAGGAGAAAGGGGGCACTTTAACACTTCTAAACAAGCACGGTAGGTGCTGAGGCAGAGGCAGTGGCAGGCTTGTTCCTATTGATTCCCCTAGGCAGTTTAGCTCGCAGAGGCTAAAATAGCTGCTGGAAAAACAGACATGCAATCATTTCCTGGGCACCAGCAAGGTTCCCTCATGAGCCCAGCCTTCCTCTGCCTGTGAGGCGTCTACCAAGGCCCACACATCCTCATGTGGCACCCCATGGCGTCCTCTGGACTCATTTTCTGTCTTATTTTATTTAGTATTGGTTTTGTTTATAGTTTTTCTTTTTAATCAGGATCTGACCTTGAACGTGTTATGTAGCCAAAGCTGCCCTTAAACTCCAGATCCACTGGCTAGAGAGATGGCTCAGTGGTTAGGAATACTGGCTGTTCTTCCAGAGGACACGGGTTCAATTCCCAGCACCCACGTGGCAACCCACAACTGTCTGTAACTCCAGTTCCAGAGAATCCAACACCCTCACAGAGACATGTATGTAGGCAAAACACCAAAGTACATAAAATAAAGATAAAATCATTTTAAAAATAAAAAAAAGTTTCTGATTCTCATACCTCCATTTCCCAAGTGCTAGGATTATAAAATGTGCACCACAAATCTTAAATCCCAATTCAGCTTTTCTTTTGTTTTGTTTTGCTTTGTTTTTCAAGACAGGGCTTCTCTGTGTTGCCCAAACTGTCCTAGATCTTACTCTACAGACCAGGTTGGCCACGAACTCACAGAAATCCACCTGCCTCTGCCTCCTGAGTGCTATGATTAAAGGTGTGCATCACCATCCCTAAGCCCCAATTCGGCTGTTTTACGTGTCTTTAATTTCTCAGGCATTATTGAGCCCTTTTGTGATCTGACTGGGATCTATGAACCTTTCCCTAACCCTCTCCACCCCACTACACTTTGAATCACTTATTCTAACTCTTCAGCAGAACGCTTCCTACTTCAGACTCGAAAATTACACCTGAGAAAAGCTGCTAAACCTATGGACTTAGCTAAAGTAGCCTTGTCTGGGCTACCCTCAAACTCACAGACATCCTCCTGTCTCTGTCTCCCAAGTGCTGGCATGAAAAGTGTGTGCCCAGCTAAAATTGCTTCTTAATTTAAAGCACCCCAAAGTCACACACTGGACCTGTCACTGCCTTTCCCTCTCCCTGACACCGCCTTTTAGATGATCAGGCAGCTTCGAAGTTATTGCCTTCAATATATAAACAGAAAACACAGGGGGTGAACGCACTTCAGGTTGGGCTTATAATTAAGTCTACCACGGTCTATAAAACCAGAAGGAACATTTGTTTATTTTTCCATGTCACCGAGATAGTCCCCACAGTCAAGCAGGTGGAGGCCTGAACACAGAGATTAAATCTCACACGTCACAAACAGTCACACAGTCAGCATCCGCTTGGAGATTCAGCTATGAACTGCAAACTCACACTGCCTTAAGCACAGGAGCAGGGGTGTCCGGCACGCTTGCAAGCCTTCGTTTTTCATTTACACTCTGGGATGGTTTCAGTTCAAACCCCCAGAGGCTCATAGATTTGAATGTTTTGTTCCCGGTCGGCAGACTGCTTAAGGAAGAATTAGGAGATGTGGCCTTGTTGGAGGAGCTCAGACCAGACCCAGTCTCTCTCTTCTCTCCCCTTTCTCTCCCCTCTGTCCCTTCCTTCCTCCCTCCCTAATTCCCTATCTTCTTCCTGCCTTCAGTAGCTCAGCTACCTTTCCAGCACCACACTGGCCTCCCTGCCACCATGCTCCCTTCCACGATGGCCATGGGCTGACTCTCTGAAACTATAAGCAAGCCAGCCCGAATTGAATGCTTTCTGTTAATAAGAGTTGCCTTGGCCATGGCGTCTCTTCACAGTGGTGGAGCGGTGACTGAGACAGGCTCCATCTGTGGTGGCTTAGCCACTCATATTCAGGCCTCTCGTGTTTTCAGAATTGTTTTCAACTAAAACAGATCTTAGCCATCAAAGATTCAAAGACACGATTTACTGTCATGTGCATTCCCCATGGCATGTCTCCTTACCTCCTCTGTGCCTTACCCCAAATACAAGAATAAAACATTCAAGTAAGGCAGCCCAACCAGATTAAATGCAACTGTGTGCTAGGCAGGCAACTTCTAATACGATCCCCAGTGGTCCCTATCTTCTGTTAGTGTGTGTGTGTGTGTGTGTGTGTGTGTGTGTGTGTGTGCGTGCGTGCCACTCCCCTCTCTGTCAATAAGGTCTCGAGTAACTTGGGCTGACCCTGAAGTCATTACGTAGTTCAGTATGGTCTTGAACTGATGTTCCTGCCTCTGCCTTCCAAGTATCAGAACTGCAGAAATACACTACCTTGCCTGGTCAATGCAGTGCTGGGAACTGAATTTTGTGAAGGTTATTCGAGCACTCTACCACCTAGAGCAACATCCCTGGCCCGGGAGTCACTTCTATAAGCCCCTCCCCTGGGATATAAACTCATCTGGTGACCATGGGAATGGAAACACAACGGCAATCACATGGGACGTTTGGCTGCAAATCTCTAATCTCTTCTACTTCACCCACTGGGAGGATGTCAGTCGCCAGTGTGGGGTAGGGGACCTGACAGGGCAGGAACAAAAAGGCCTTCAGCCAGCCACCGTCAAATGCTTGAGAGCCCTTCAGTTCAAACAGCCTGTGAGGAATTCAACCTTGCCAACAACCGCGTGAACACACCCGGAAAATGCTCCTGCCAGTTGAGCCTTCAAATAAGATCATCTGGCATCATGAATGCTGGAGTGATGTGCCCTTGAGCTGGCTAATGTATGCCACCTGATGTGGCTTTAATTGGGGACAGTCTATCACAGTAATTACAAAGGGATTAGAAGGGGAAAGGCATCAAAGCGGAGAGTTACAGTACCAACTGCAGCATGCAGTTGCCTTTGCCTGAACCTGATACTCACTTTCAGGGCATCCCCCTCATTGCCCTCCATCACTTCCAGAATCAGAGCAGCCAGGATGTTGAAGCCTTGGCAGTACCCGACATTCTTGTTCCACCGGGCATACGCCAGCAGCACCCGCTTTAGGACCACCCTGTCCTGCTCGGCCTCCTGGCCACAGTAGGAGCTACAGCCCGTGCGGTGCAGATCCTAAGAAGGGAGGGGAAAATAGATTTAAAAACATCTCCTGCTGTGGTTTGGACCCATGCCGTTGATGGGACTTCTGGGACCCTGACCTCTCCTCTCTCTCTCTGTCTCTCTCTGTCTCTCTCTCTCTCTCTCTCTTTGGTTTTTCGAGACAAGGTCCAAACCCAAGCCTTGGATCCTGTCCTGGAACTCACTCTGTAGACCACACTGGCCTCGAACTCACAGAGATCTGCCTGCCTCTGCCTCCTGAGTGCTGGAATTAAAGGTGTGCACCACCACCTGGCTTGATTTTTGTTTTTAATTTATAAACAATTTATACACATGAGCCAGAACACTCCTGTGAATTGTTTTCCTACTGCTTTCAACCATGCCGCCTGAGAAAGACACGAGGGCTGCTTCAGTCAAGCAACTGTTCTCACAGTGCTTCCAGAATCAACACAAAGAGTTACTCAATCAGCAAAACTACATTACAGTTTCGTGTAAGTGGAGAGTCTTTCAAGATGTCCATTAGTGTGTTTGTATATACAGTCATTTCAGCACACAATGCAGGATGATAGCATTGATCCTTTGAACAAAATGTGGTATGAGGTTTAGAGGTTTAACTGGCTAAAATTAAACAGCAAAGTCATTATAATACACAGGCACATCATCCTGTGCAGAGCACGCTACCAAAACACCTGCTGTGCTTCCCTGTGTACTGGTGCTAATATCTTTAATTTAATTACCAAGATGACACCATGGTTTTAGGAGAAAAGATCATTTTACTGATGGAGCATTTGCTTCAATGGAAAAAATAAGAGATCCTTTTTAATAACGTGATTATAAGATGTGTTTTGCCTAAGCCGGTCATTGCGGTACTCTCCTTTAACACAGCACTCGAGAGGCTGGGGCAGGTGGATTTCTGTAAGGCCAGCCCAGTCTGCATAGTGAGCCCAAGTCAGCCAGGGCTACACAGTGAGACTCCCATCTTAAAAGACAAAACAAGAAAGAAAAAAAAAGCTAAACAAAACCGGGCTGGAGAGATGGCTCAGTGGTCAAGAACACTGGCTGTTCTTCCAGAGGACCTGGGTCCAATCCCAAGCATCCAGATGGCAGTTCATAACTGTCTTAAACCCCAGTTCCAAAGGACCTGTTGGCCTCATCTGACTTCCATAGGTACCCAGAAATGACAGAGAGGCACAGACATGCACGCCGACAAAACACCCATACACATAAAATAATGTTGCTTGAAAGTGCACTGCCTTAATTCATAAGTTAAACAGAAAGGGACTATTTCAAATATAAAATTTTGTCCTAAGCTGAAATTTCAAATAAAGCATTAGAACGTGGACAATGCAAATGGCTTCAACAAGCAATGTGAAATGCCATGGTTTTTTTTAAATGTTCATTTGAAATAAACCAAGTTATATCAGAAAGTAGCTCGTTTTAGTTTGTTCTTCCTTTTTTTAAAAAAAAAATGGATTTAAATGTGCCAACACATTAGCCATCTTGTGGTGGCCAAAATGTAGATGAGACAGCCTTCCTTTTCAAATCCCAGCTTAGCATCCCACTGTGGAACACTCATAAACTCAAAGCCCACGTGCCCAAGCCTTATGTACAAAGATTATTCTGGTACCAAATGAAATCAGCCTTGTTGGCTCTTGTATCAGCCACACAATAAAGGCACCCAACCATAGCTGCCCAAAGCAGACCTGAACTGAATGCTAACCCACCCAGTTTAACACAGATCCATCAGCGAACCTAACTATCGGCACATTAACATTTAGACTAGCAAAGGTTCTAATAAGAGACAAATGTTTCTAATACGAAATATACTCATGCCTAAATTTCTCAGTCCAAAAACTTTAATGTGAAAGTACAATTGATATCCTGACCTATACTACAGAAAAATAAATAGAGCTTCAGTCTCCTGTTGTGTAGCAAAATTAGATCAGTTGAACATGAACGGAAACTCATGTCCATTTTCCGCTTGCTGGCAACTTTTAAATTTATGAAGGCGAGCATTAAACTCTCCATACAAAAGCTACTGATGGATGGGATGAGGAAGCAGATGAATGTAGACGTTCAGTCCTGGAGGTGGAGGTCATTGGACCCTCTGTCTAGGAAATGGTTAGCTCTTTGGGTCCTTTCTCAACATGAGAACAGGAAGCCAGGTTCAGGAGCATTACCTTGACGATCTGGATCCCCATAGAGTCATCGTCGGGATTGCTTCTCTCATTGAAAGTGAAGCGCATGGTTTTGTCCCAGTCGATGGCAATACTGTGCAGATAATGATCTGCCAAGGTCAGCCAGACCTGAAGGGTTGCACAAAGAAGATGGGTAAAGCAGGATGCCCCGCTGTTCCTAGAACAGTAGGATTGCATCCAGGAAAGGCGAGGAACTGTTCTGAGACCCGGGCTAGCTCACACATGCAGCGGAGTTTGCTGTGTTAAAGCAGACCCTGCGGCTTCCACTCTCTCTTGTAATAAATATTTGCAGTATTCCTACTACGTGCCAAGGAACAATCTAATCTTTAGGAAAGGAAATAGCCAGAACTTTTTTCATTTTATTTCACTTCATTGAATAGGCTGTAAAATTCTAAGACCTTGTTTTGTTTTGTTCAATTCCAAATCATTCTCTGCTTGAGCAACAGCTGCTTGGCCACACATGGACTGTTTTTCCCCACAGAGGCCTCTGCCTTAACCTCCTCCCACACACATGCTCTCTATACACCCAACCCTGACAGATGGATTCTCGGGATGAATAATTTTTTCAAGACTCACTAGATATTTTTACTCCTTTACCTGACCAAGATAATCTAATTCTGAAAAATGAATTTCATAACTCCACATTAATTTTCACTTAAGAACCACTCAGTGTTCAAATTCCAACGTTAAGATTACATTTATAAATTAATAACCTTAGAGTACATTTCAAACTTCAGCATTTGAATATAACTTGGCAAGAACAGCATTGATTAATATCTCCAACCAGATGTCTATGCATCAGAATTCCGCTCAAATGCCCACTGGATACCTTTGCATTGGATGTGTATCAGGTATCTGATTGCAACAGATGTCAGACCAATTATCTCACCCTCCACTGCCCCATTACACACGCAGACACACACAGACACACACACCTGTTTCTCCCATCCACACCAATGGCAACTCGATCTTTCCAGCCACTTGGGCCAAAATCTGGAGGTCATTTTTGACTTCCCGCATATGTCTGATAGTCAATGCATTGGGCATTTATCTCAGCTCAGGCTTCAAAGTACATTCAGAATCTAGCGCTTCTCACCATCTCCAGTGACCACTGGCCCCTTTCTTGCCTGAATGATTTAATCTACATGTTTCCTGGTATGTAGCCTCATGTCTCATATGCTCAAAGCAGTAGACCAAGTAGCCAATCTGACCTGACCAGACTGGAGCTTCCTGGCGCTCTCTCTCTCTCTCTCTCTCTCTCTCTCTCTCTCTCTCTCTCTCTCTGTCTATGTCTCTCTGTCTTTCTTTCTGTCTCTCTGTCTCTGTCTGTCTCTGTCTGTCTGCCTCTGTCTCTCTGTCTGTCTCTGTCTCTCTGTCTGTCTCTCCCTGTCTTTCCTTTTGCCTCTCTGTCTGTCTCTGTCTCTCTGTGTCTCTGTGTCTCTCTCTCTCTCTCTGTCTCTCCCTGTCTTTCCTTTTGCCTCTCTGTCTGTCTCTGTCTCTCTGTGTCTTTGTCTCTGCCTCTCTCTCTCTCTCTCTCTCTCTCTCTCTCTCTCTCTCTCTCTCCCTGAATGAAGAGCCCTAGTGCATCTACAGCCTAGGAAGACATTCATGGCCGAGCCACTCAAGCTGCCTCTAGACCCAGCCCCTCCTACCGCTTCCCCAGCCTCTATGAGCCTCCCACCACTCCTCTGAGATCACACCCCAGGAGCTCCCCACCTGAGTGCCTTCCCCCAGGCAGCTGCAGTTGACTGCTCACTTCCTCCTTCAGGTCCCTACTCACGTGTCACCTTCTATATAAAATTCCACCTCCTGATCCCTATTCTCCCACACTCTCTTTATCTTTCTCTCTGTCTCTCTCTCTCTGCTTTGTGTCTATCTACAGCACACATCACAGGGTGACACACTCTATTGGATTCCCTGTAAGTTTTATGAGGACAAAATATTCCATCTGCTGTTGTTCCCATGGCTGCATCCCTAGCACCCCGAACATTACCTGGCATGAACCATGAATACCCAATGCATGATTAACAAAGAATACATTTTCTGACCTCCCAGATATTTTAATGGGCAGAGTGATGGTCGTTTTGTATTTTAGCCCTGTGAACCCACTCACCTTTCTCCTCCATTCCTTTGGGATCCCTGTTGACAGTCTGGCAACTGCCTTGAGAGCATCATACCACTAGGACCAGAGAGGAATATTAGAGAAGTAATAATACGAACCAGGAGCAGCATTTTCCAGCCTCCCCATCTGGACATCTGTGCTGGCTAGTTTTATGTCACCTTCACACAAACTAGAGTCACTGGACAGGAGGGAACCTCAATTGAGAAAATGCCTTAGTAAGATCTGGCTATAGGATAAGGCAGGTCTGTAGAGTATTTTCTTAATTAGTGATTGATGTGGGAGGGCTCAGTCCATTGAGGGTGGGGCCATCCCTGGGCTGGTGGTCCTGGGTTGAGCAAGTCATGGGAGCAAGTTAGGAAGCAGCACCCCTCTGTGGCCTCCTGCCTCCAGGCTCCTGCCCTGTTTGAGTTCCTGTCCTGATTTTATTTGATGATGAACTGTGATGTGGAAGTGTGAGCCAAACAAATCCTTTCCTCCCCACCTTGCTTCAGTCATGGTGTTTCAACACAGCAATAGCAACCCTGGCTAAGACAACATCCACAGTACGTGAGAAAGTTAACAGTGCCCTAGAACTTTGGCTTCTCTCCGCCAGAAGTTATCTTTCTAGGGGCTATAAGGGTCCCAAGCCTTAAATATCCTAACCAAACACCCCTGTTGCCCATGTGACCCCAACAGCTGGGAAGATTTGAAACAAAACACCATACATACTGTGAGTTAAAGCTCTGTCTGTGAGCCTCTCTGTGGTTCCTGAAGTGAAACTGTAACCATATTCACTCTTGTATCACTTTTTTTAAAAATGCAGAATTGTTCATTGCGACTATAAACCCAGGTTACTTATGCTTTAAAAGTTATTGTGTTACAAACTGGAAAAAAACTGACATCTCTAGTATATAAAAATGTATGTGAATATTTTCATTTTAAGAATATATGACAATGTACCCAGCTGGTATCCCCAAATTTTAAAAAAAAAAAATGCCTTAAAAGCCAAAAACAAAGTTACCTGCTGAAACCCATTTTGGCCTAAAGATGGCTCAAGTGTGAACTTCAATTTTGTGTCAGCTCCTAGAAGGAAATTAAGTAGTTGTTATTTGTGCAAATTATAACAAAGTTGTATCATAAATAAATTCCAACACTTGACTCTACTGAATTGTATTAAAATTTTTAAGTGTTTTTACTAAATTTTAGTCAATTTAGTTAAAATATATTAATTCTAATAGAAAAATGGCTTAGGACAATAAAATGGAGTTTAAAACATCAGATGGTAGCTTCCACAGAAGCCTGGAATAACTGACAGCACAGGCTAGAGCCACAAACCATCATCAACTCTGGGTCCTAAACTCAAACTCCTTAGCCTGTCTGGACCTCAATTCCCCTAACCACTGAAGTGAGGACAGCAGCTTCTACCTCAGAGGACTGCTGCAGTGACTGGCTGTAAATCTCATCTGGGGAGCTAGCAGTTATAAGACACAAAGGGGTTATTCTCCAGTTGTAGAGTTTGTTTTTCTGCAGCAGACAGACTAAGACAGTTAAGGAAACTTCAAGGGCTGGAGTCGAGGAGACCTGGGGTTTCATTCCGAACACAGGGGTCAGGGCACTTCACTGGAGCATCAGAAGCTATGTAATGCCATCGTGGCACTGTGAACGCAGCAAGAAGGGAGAGCCAGTGCCTGGTGTGGACAGGCGCTGAGCTAGAGTCCTCACAGGACAAAGTCAGGTTCATCGGTGTACCTCTTCCTGTTTGCTTAGATTTAGCAATACCGGGGATTGAACCTATAGCCCAGTACATGCTCTTTCACTGAGCTACACCTTCCCATACCTCTTTCTGCTTACAGAAAGGATTTATTACAACAATTCCATTTGATAACTTCCAAATATTTTAATTCTATCTTAATAAACCTATTTGTTGAGGATAAAAACATATCAAGTTCTAGACTATAAACTAAATATAGGACTAAACTCTAATCCTAAGTAATCTAATGCTTTAACTTTTTTAATTTAATTTAGTTAAAAATCCATGGAACAAAAGTGGGAAAGTAAACAAAAAATAAATTTTTGTTACTTATATTTAGCCTTTATTCACACTTCTGTAATAGGAGTATTTGTTGTTATTGAAGAGAAATTCTATAACAATTCTTATTCTTGTTTAAAATCTATGAAAATATAATATAATCAAAACTGAAAATACAATATATCCTTTTTTATACAACCTCAAAATCACTTGATAACATAGTTTGGTTTTCACGCAGACTCATTACTTCACCCCTAATTGCCTAGAACTCGCTGTGTAGATCTGCCGTGTCTTCACTTCCTGTATCTTCTAAGCACTGGGATTATAGGCAGGCACCATCATCATGCCCAACTTAAAGCTGAGTGTGGTGTGTGTGTGTGTGTGTGTGTGTGTGTGTGTGGTGTGTGTGTGTAGTGTGTGTGTGTGGTGTGTGTGTGTAGTGTGTGTGGTATGTGCGGTGTGGGTGTGGTGTGTGTGGGTGTGTTGCGGGTGCATGTGTGTATGTGTACAAGTAAGCATACATATTGGGTGTCTCCCTCCGTCGCTCTCCACCGTATACTTTGGCTCATAGTGTCTCACTGTGGAGCTCACCCATGCTGCTAGACTATCAAACTCCAGAGATGTGTATCCATCCCACCGCCAGCCTCTGAATGCTGGGGCTACAGGTTTGCACTGTGCAGTTTGGCATGGGTTCTTGGGATGCAAATTTGGTTCCTCATGTGCACACAACAAGCACCTTACCGTTCAGCCATCTCCCTAGCCCCTGTAGCTAATTTTAAAACAAACAAAAAAAAGATTCATTGTTTACAAGTTCAAAGATCAAGAAATGGCAAACATTCTCAATAAATATTCAGAGCGATCAAATGATGATACTTGCTGCTAAGTAGTCTGTAGGCTGCACATATTAAAACCTCACAACTTCTACCACTTAGACGGAGCACTTAGAGGTTGGCACAGATAGGAAAAATCTTCAGGACTTTTAAAAGGCATACATCTGGAATCAAGAAGCAAGAAAGGCATGCCTGGTGCACCCAAGCCCATGACAGTAGCAGAGAGATGGTGGCGATGTTGTTCTTATTGATGATGAAGATATGGGGCCCTGTACACATGGTCTGGACCTAGATTCCCTGTCAAAGATTCAGGGCATCTGATGATACCTTGACATTTCAAAACTTTAAAAATCAAAAGCATGTTCTAACTGGATAGATGAATTTCTTCTCCAAGAAAAGATTAATTACCCACTGATTCTCATCCCTGAGAATGGTTTTAATCACCTCCTGACTCCATAGTGGTACCAAGAATGCCTCCAGTTCCAACCAATGAAATGGACTTTGTTGAAAGGGTGCTGTCCAGGTCCGGGGTGCTGAATGTGAGCGCTTATAATTATGATTTTTGCTTTATTACAACAAAAACCAGAAAATTCTGACCCATGCTGACTTTGCCACTGCCCTGAAACCACCGGGCTCCCACTGTGATTGACAAAATATGTTGCTTTGACTTTTTGGAGCCGCTTGCTGGGAGTAATCCGATTGCTTTCCTGTGCTGAAAGCCAACTGGGGCTAGTTAGTCAAAACCACAACTATTTTCTCCTGATCAAAAATGAATCAGGTTTTAAGTGAAACCGATCATTCGCCGCCCGCATGCAAAGGCTTAAATCGGGCCATTTTCACGCTCTTTTCTTCTAAGTGAGATGAGAGGTGAGGAGGTTTATATTTCATCTGATAGTCACAGCTGTTCCGGATTCAGAAATACAAAACACTGTTCAACGTGGGAAGGCGATTTAAAGAAAAAAAGAAAGAAAAAGGTAAAAGAAGACGGCGAATAAATACCACACTCTGCAATTAGATACTTCGGTAGTGGAGAAAAACAAAGAAGCCACGCGGTTCGGAAAGGCGGCGACGCATTCCACCCTTTGGGACCCAGTGCCGGGCAGAATCTGCAGCAGTAGGGTGACAGCAGGTCCCAGAAGGGGTGGAGAGTGGGAAAGGAGGGTACTTTGGAGACCACGAACTGCCTGGAGGCCGCTGGGGCCACTCCAGGGAAAGGTGGGCACAGAGCTCAAGCTCAGCGGGCAAACAGAGCGGCCACCCCTTGCCAGAACCCTCAGCAACCAGGCGCAGGTGCCAGGGCCAGGCTCTTAAAACCCTGAGCAACGATGCCAGGTGACCGAGCAGGCGCGGAGATAAGCAGAGCCTGGAGAAACAGGGATATGTAAATACAAGGTGATGGCAGGAAGGGCCTGTTCTCACAAGGCCAGGCGGGCTCCTGGACCTTACCCACGCACAGCTCGTGCCCTCTCCTACCCCAACACAAACACACCACAGGGACTCTGGGGAAAGCATGTACTGGATCGTCCTTTGCAGTAGCTGCCTTTCCCTCCGACCTGCGAGGTCAAGGACCAACCCACACACCTCTCTGGAGGTCTGGCTTCCAGGGAACCCGAAGCACAATAGGTGACGCAGCCTGGGCTGGAAGGGGCAGCCTCCTTCACTTCCCCACCGAGTGCATAGGCCCCGGGGTGGCTTCTTCAGGACAGCGGGGTCGTCTGTGCCCTGGTAGCCTTGAATGCACCCAGGCCGGGGTCTGCTCCCATCCCTCTCACCTGCACCGCGGTGCCCATCCACAACCCGTGCCTTACCCGGCTCCAAGGTGCACAGCAACCGGGGCGCGGTCCGTGAGATGCAGCTGCGCTTCTTGAGCACATTGCTCAGGATGGTGCCCACGCCACCGCCGCCGCCGCCCTGGCGCTTCAGGCATCGCCCGCCGCGACGCAGGGAGCCGGTCAGCTTGTCCTGCCGCATCCGAGAGCACCGTCGGCCTCCCGGGTCCTCGCCGCTGCGCCGGAACGACTCCGCACGCGGGACTCAGAGAGTCCAAGCCGGCAAGGCTCCGTGGCAAGCTGCGAGCGCGCAGCTGGAGCTCCGGAGACGAGAGGATCAGAGAGACGCGGCGGGAGCAGCAGGAGCTCCGGGAGACCGGCTGGCATCTGCACTGCGGAGCCCAAACGGTTGAGACCGGAGCTGGCTGGGAGGGGAGTAGGGCGGGAGTAGGGCGGGAGCGAGCGCGCGGGCGCACAGAGACGGAGGCGGCGCTTCGGCACCCAATCCCGGCTTCAGCCTGAGCAAGCAGGGCGGTCTGAGTCTCTGAGTCCAGAGCCAGCTCCGAGGACAGAAACCAGAAAGAAGGCAGGGATGTCGCACTTCTTCTAAGCCTGGGAGGGCTGGAGCGGCCGCAGGTGCAGACGCCTCCAAGCGCTCACCTAGTCTGAGCAGCCAGGAGGGAGTGGGTGGAGAGGGAGAGGGCAAGGACGCGGACGGACGAGCAGACCCCAGGGCGGAGAAACTGGCAGATGGTGACCTCAACCTTCAGCCTAAATTATGCTCATGTCTTTCCTGGCCACTTAGAAGGAGGGCAAAGAACCATGTTTGATAACAATAATAACAACAATATAGTTCCTCTTGGGAAAACTCTAAGAAAACGTTTCCACCGAAGAAGCAATTTTTGAAAGACGTGTTTCCGGGGGCATGGCGAGGCCAGGTTCTTAATAAGAAATATCTGCCAGGCTTGAAAAACCCAGAAGAAACTTGCAAGAGTATTGAGTCAAAGTTAATGAGGTGGGTTGGAAAGAAAACACAGTAAGACTGGCATCTTGGCCGACACTGTGACGGTGACATTGAAGGTGAGGGCTCACCCAAACGGATGAAGGATGGTGGCCACATCCTGACAAGTTCCATCCAGCCTAAGGCTGATGTGGACAATCCACCAAGCGCTGCAAACCTGAACGTGAGTCTGCTAGGTATTCAATCTCCTCCCACTCCCCCACCCCACCACCCACACCCCAACCCTCCCACCCCACCCCCTGCCCTATACTGCTTTCAGTCATGGTGCCACTAAGTTACCCTGACTGGCCTTGAACTTGTGATCTTCCTGATTCAGCCTCCTGAGTAGCTGGTATAACAGTATTAACCCCCAGACCTGGCTTGCCTGAGAAGTTTTTTTCTCTATCTATAATACATGTAAATATTAAATCATATGACAGTCAGGTATAGGGATGTAAACAGACCCAGCCCCCCAAAATCTGTCTTTATGGAATTTTCAAAGTACCCTTTTTCTTATTGCGTTCTTCGAATCTCAGCTTTCAAATCTTCCAGCGCTCTAGATAACAGCAAACACGGCATCATAACCATTAGTAGTTCAGACACAGACTTCTTCAGCCCTCCCTTGACACACCTGTTCTACCGCCTCTCTCCTTAGACCACAGAATGCCCTTCCAGGCACCTTCAGCAAAGTTCTCCGGGAGTACTGGTCAACCAGCTAATCTTCATAAATATCCTGCCAGCCGAGGACTAACTCTATCTTCTCCCTTCCTTTGCCAGTGAGACAAGCTGTAAATCACTTCACCTTTTCTTCCTGTGGAAATTTCACAGACTTTCAGCAGCTCCTGCAAGTCACTGGTCTGGCTCAACAGCTGCTGTACCAGTGCTGTGTGTTCTTCATGCCCATGTGGTACCAAGTCAACACTCACTTAAGATCCAGTGTCTACCTGAAGACCTGAACTCCAGGCCTAGTACATTCTCCATCGGAATGTCTTCATCAGGAACAAGACAATGGCTCACAATTATTTCCACAATTTCAACATAGCAGGTTCCAGGCCATCAGGGCTACACAGTGAGACCCTATCTAAAAATAAAAGACAGGGAGGAGAAGATTGTTTCTTAGCAACCCTTCAAGACATAACTTGAGAGTTACCAAAATAGAATATATGGCCAGTGCTAAGACACTTAATTGTGACTCTCCCTTGGGAAGCCCATTCCACACTTGCGTTCATCCTATTCTCTTCCCGGGCATCTCCCCTGCTCTCTTAGCTCATATGAAGCCTATCATTTACAAACTTTTGCTCTCCTTTGACAAGCTCACATCTATACTCTTGGGTAAGACATGTATTATTCCTGAACATCTCTCCTCTGCTTAATCTTTCAGTTTGAAATCTATATTAAAATCTCGCTTAATAAACTACAACTCTATTTCAAGAAATCAAAAGCTGTTTCATCCTCTCTCCACTCCCCCGTGCTCCTGGACTTGGACCAACCACCACTGCTAGTAGAGAGGAAAAGGCCATTCTCAAAGTACAATGCGATATTTCCATTTCAAAAGCAGGAGGACGGGAGAGCATAAAGATTTTTGCATTTGGTCATCTTTAGCGGGGGAGAAGTGAATTTTTAAAACCATGGGAGAGGAGGTCAGTGAAAGACCCTGTTCTCAGAAAACAAGGTGATGGGGTCTGAGGAAGAATAACACCAGAAACTGTCGTCCGGCCTCCTCCACATCCACCTGCACACATGTGAATACACACACACAATTTCAAGGGAAGGAATAGTGTGGACATAAGAATGGAACATTGAGATTTCTCTAGATTTGCCCTAAACAGTTTGACTTTGAAATAATGCTTATTTAAATGCTAGTAAATTTGAGTTCTTAAATGAAACTATGGAAATAAATGAACATAAATGAACCTAACTGAATATACCATTTACATCATAAAAACATAAGAAAAAATGATTATACTTAAAACAGGGATGTACACTGTAAGAAAAAATAGAACTGAAAGAAATCTTAATTTTACTCAGTAGTTAACAATATTGGTGTTTTAACTCATGTGCTATAGGAGAAAGCAAATAATGTCAAAGGGGGCCAATATTATATAAAATTATATAACCAAAGAAACTGGTTTTCTGTAAAATACTGTGTAACATCTGCTTTTGAGACAGGCTCTCCTTATGTGACCCAGGCTGGCCTCGAACTTGTCACCCCACTTCAGCCTTCTGAGTGCCGGGGTTGGAGGTGTGCAACACCACACTCAACTTACAATTAATGTATTTACATCAGAACTACTAGTAGGAACCAACTTTGTCCCTCAAATATCAACTTGCCTGCTGATCCAAACTAACGAACATCCCAACTAGCACCCAGGGTATGGTGACTAAACTCATTCTCCACTAAAAGAAGAAAAACTCCCGGGAAAATGACTGACTCCCAGCCCGAGCCAGAAAAAAAGTGCTTGTGAGCCTGTAGCACCTTCATGTACTCAGGATGAATGGGGTCACTTCACAGGGCACAAAAGTCACCTCAACAGGCAAACATGAAACAACCCCAGGGTCAAAAACAATCTCTGCATTTGACTGAAGAAACGCAAAACATCTTTTAAGTGCTTTAATAATGGTGTTCTGAGCAAGCCAGGAAAAGAAGTCAGCCCCCAGAAGGCCGGCAAACTTATGTTGGAGTCCAGGCATCAAGGGCTTTGTGAAGCGCCCCCAGATTTGAGGACACAATCCGAAATGGTTTAACTCTACAAAGGAGGTTTGCAGAACTCTGTTAGCAAGAGGTTAGCTGTGAACGCAAACCAGGCTGGCACGCGATAGAGGAGCCATGTGGTTTCGCTGCCTGTCTGAGGACTCTGAGAAAGTGTCACTTTATAAAATGGAGTCAGTGTGTCCTCCAGATCTGCTCGGATTTCCCGGGCTTCTTCCACACGCTCTATCCCTCACTGCCTGGTACTTTTTCATGGGATGTATGCTCTGCCCTTCATCTTCGCTTAGCCATCCGGCCTCTCGGTGATGCCGACGACCATAGGAAGCTCTGCTGTCCTGTGCTTATCTGGACAGTGCTTTAGAGGGTTAGTGTGCTGCTGAGACTGGAGACAGTGAGCCAGCAGGAGTAGCAAACCCCAGAAGGACAAGTATTCAGTGAGTGTGGTCTTGCTTTCCAGAATTCTCCTCAGCTCAAATCTAGAGGACTTTGTGTCTTCCTCTAACAAAGGATGCTATTCACATTGCTCTTCACTGGGCCAGGCAGCCTCATGGTCCAAAAGGAGGAGCCTCTTGTGTGGGAAGGACACCCAGCACCCGAGGCTGTGTGACACATGCCACTCAGAGCAGCCTGCACCCTTTGGCTCAGATGTCACACTCATCAGGCAAACCTCTGATTATCATTTGGCTCCAGAAAGGGCTGCTTGCCTAGAAGAGAATGTACTGAACACAGCAAATGGCGGCCATCACCGTTCCGCTGATGCTGAGCATCAAGATTCTGGGCTGTCAGAAATGAACCCTGACCCTGGATGGGGCAACGGGCAGGTCAGGGCTGACAAAGATTTCTCTGAAATTCTTCACGGTATTTTTCTTCTTCCCAAATGAGTGTTCCACTTCATTACTTTCAGAGAACAAGAGAAAATGGCAAAAAAAAAAAAGCAAACAAAAAAATGGGCGGAGGGATTCTATGAATTTTTTCCACTCTAAAATTGCATAAAAGTTAGCATCATTTGTGTTTGTGTGTGTGTGCATGTGTGTACGTGCATGCGTGTGTGTGTGTTTCTACTACTATAGCAATAGATAGCAAAGGAATTAAACAATATTATTTTGTTTACATTGGGGAGGGAAGCAAGACTGCCAACTTTTGTAACAAACAGATAATTAAGTTAGTGCTAAAATACTCTAAAAGTAGCCATGGCACAAGCCTGGCATTATATTTATTATGTGACTCATCGTTTCTTATTTCATGTCTGGGATATTGTTTTCCAAAAGCAAACGATGTCATCTGAAGTCAGCTCAGAGAAAACAAGCCAGTGTGGCATTTGCCTGTGGCTAGCGCAGCCGGGCCAACCCTCCTTAGCCTCTGCTCAGCAAATGACCCTTCCTACCAAGCAGTGAGTTCCCATTTGAATCAACCGCACCTTGCCACTATCTGGAATAGCTATGCTTTAAGCTGGGGAAAGCGCAATGTAAATTGTATGTTGGGTGCCTTGGATGTAACATAGGAGGTGAGGCAGGAGGATCACACGCTTGAGGCCAGCGTGGGCTACATAGCAGGTTCTGTGCTAGTGTGAGCTACAAAATGAAATCTTGTCCCCAAATCCTCCTTCACACATGAGAGAGTCAAGGAAAGAGAGTGTTTTGAGGAAACATCCTGAACATCTCAGAGTTAGAAATTCTGAGATTGGCCAGTGGATTAAGGACCATTTGCTCACAGGGC